AGGCCCTTGATCACGTCCGCTACTTCGTCAGGAGTGACGGGGGGCAGCGGGGCGTCAGGGTCCTCAGAAGGGGGTAAGGCGGTTCTGCGTTCGACCTCGGCGTCCACTCTAGCGAGATGGGCCGGGTCAACTGGTAGGGTGCTGGGGGAGCATTGGAGTTCCAGGCTGTCGGCCAGGCATTCGGCTTTTTCTTCGTCGTCAAAGGCGAAGCTTTTGTCGGGGCGAACAAGAGGGGGAACTGAGGTGACCTCAGGGGAGCGCAACTTCCTCTGGAGGTTCCAGAAGGCCTGGTGGGTTGGTTCGATCTCACTTAGTAGCTTTTCCCAGCGTTTTTCACGCAACTCATTGATGCTATTGCTTACCTTGCGCTGTAAGTAACGCATGTGAGTTTTGTTATTGGCGCAGGGGAAAGCCCTATAGGCACGAACGGCCGCGTTCTTCTCAGACAACAGGGCACGCAACTCGTCTGGGAGCCTCCAACGGTGATCGCTCACCGCCGGAACCTCCCTCGAACTCTCGTTCAGGACGGACTGCACGTGCTCTGTGAGAGAGTCGATAGCGGCCGCCGCGTCTGCGGCGGACTGGATGTTGTCGGGGATCCTATCCAGGTGAGGCGAATTGGTGGATTTTAGCAGTTCGCTTACTTTCCCCCAGTTCGTTATCACCCGGGTAGGAGGCGGTTGATCTGGGTCCACAGGGCCGGTTCTGGGGGTTAATCCCAGGATGACCGGTCTGTGGTCAGAGTCGAGCTCGTCCATCGCCTCCACAGAGTGCAAACGCAAGTTTACGTTTCTGAGAAGGGCGATGTCGAGGACGTCCGGCCTATGGGTGGGATCGAACGGGTAGTGGGTGGGATGCATCGGGGCGATAACATCAAAACAGAGGGTCGAGCAAAGGTCGTACACCACCTTACCACGAGGGTTGGTGATGTTGCTGTTCCACGCGGGGTGCTTGGCGTTGAGGTCACCCGCCACGATGACGGAATCGCTCAAGCCGAAGATGGAGTTTAGGTCGTCTCGGATCGCGTCGTTAACCTCATGTGCCTCCGAGGCGGAGGCAGGGGCGGGTGGGAGGTACGCAGAGACTATGGTGATCGGATTGTGACCCGTCATGCCTAGCCGACAGACCGACACCTCCAAGTGCTTGAGAGGGGGGGGATCCATAGGTATGCAATGCAGGGAGCCTTTATAGTATATGAGGGTTCCTCCTTTGTGACAACGAGACCTGTCGTTGCGGACTAACCTGTAGTTCGCAATTTTCGGGTCTCGGACATGGGGTTTGAGGAATGATTCTTGGATCAAAAAGATGTCTATTCGATGGTCACGGAGGAATGTGGCGACTTCGTCGCGTTGGTTACTAAGACCGTTGGCGTTAAAGAACCCTAACCTAAGGGCAGTCGGCTTTAGCCTTCTTGCCGTGTTCCTATCCATAATTAATTGTGGGATTGGAGGGACCTAATGGCGGCGTGGACGTCAGGGTACTTGTCGTACACCTGCCGAATGGCTTGAAGGTTGCCTCTGCAGGCCTTTAGTTCGGTGGCTAGTTGGATAGCCCGGGGGGTGTAGAAAGCACAGAAGGTGCTTGAGATGATTTCAAAGGGATCGAAGTCGATCCCTTGGGCAGGGGTGGCCGGGGCACGTTGTGCGGGTGGTAGCGGGGCCGAAGGCTGGGATGGGTTGGCCTGAGGGGCCTGCGGGGGGGGCATGGGACGGTCCATGAGCCCCGGGAGCGCCTGAGGGGCCTGGGCGGGGGGAGGGATGGGGCGGTCCATCAGTCCGGGGATGGCCGGTTGTTGGACCGTCCTCAGCGCCGGGAAATGACGCTGGGTGTTTAAGACGCTCCAGGGACTTGGGCGTTGGGGGGCAAGGGGGGTTTGGGGGCATTCCCTTACTTGGCGGGCGATGGCTCGCTTCACCAGCTTGGGCGCCGAGGTTTTGGGAGCTTTGGAGCATCCCCGGTAGTTTGCTGGGTGGCCGGATTGGCCACACAGTACACAGCTGGGTGGCTCTGTGCACAGCGAGCGGTCTTTGGGGCGGGGACAGTCCGCCGTTGGGTGGTCGCCTAGGCACTTGACGCACCTAGGCTTGCCATGGCAATTTTTTGCCGCATGGCCGTATAACTGGCATCTGTGGCATTGCGCCAGATTGCCGTTTTTGTGGGGTCTCTCCACCTTGAGGCCGGAGAGCCCACAAATCCTGGAGATAGCGAAAACCGGGTGCTTACCATCGGTGGGAGCGCACGAAGCGACCACCATGTTGAATTTGGTCCCATCTTTCTTGTGCATTCTGTGCACGTGGATGACAGGGACTCCTTGGTCCCGAAGATCTTCGGAAATCTCCTGTTCGGAGATTTCTACTGGGATGTTTTTGAAGACCACCCGGACGGGGCGGTCTTCCTTGAGTGTATAAGAGTGATAGGGAACGTTTCTCCCTATCAGGAGGGCGCTTAAAGCCCTGAAGTCGTCCGATGTTGGGACTACTATTTTGATGCCCTGCTCTACTGCGCGGGCGTGGGTGTAGGCGATGCGTTTTTCAGCGCATGCCTTGGAGACGTCAGTCCACATCCCTTTATCGTGGATGAAGATTGGCGGGGGGAGAGATAGTTTGCGCACTGCGGCGCTCGAAGAGTCCTGTGAGGTCGGGGGGGCTCGGGGGGCCTGAGAGGCAGGGGAGGCTTGGGAGGGTTGGGGGAGGGACGAAAGGGCTTGGAAATCCTGGGTGGCCGAGGTGGATGGGGGGGTTGGGGGGGACGGGCACACAGTCATAGGGCTGCCGGGTCTGGGTGCTGGTTGGGCTGAGCCTTTCTTGGCCTTGGTAACAGGGACAGAGGAGGAAGGCTTTTTCTTCCTCTTCCCTTGGACTAGTGTAAAGTCCTGGTCATCCGATGAGAGATCATCGGATGAAGGGGGAGGGGGCGGTGCCTGGTCCTGTGTAGGAGGGCTTTTCGGGGGAGAGGAGAACCGGCGGGGAGTTTTTGGAGGGGAGAGGTAACGTCGGGGAGGGGTGCTTGACCGGTGGCGGGGGGGGGAGTCGTCGCGGAAACGGGGTGGGGTCCGTGATCTGCTCCGGGGGGAATTCGGATTTGATCTCCTGGGTGGAGACCCGGATGTAGGCCGAAGCCTGGAATCCCGTTTCTTAGGCGGGGGGGTGGTGGTGGAGGGGGGAGAGCTTTGGGGCTTGGGGGATAAACCCAAGTCACCCAATAATGCCTGGAGGCGGGAGAAGAAGGTCTCCTGGAGGTCTGGCCTGGAAGCCAGGCTCTCCAGGATACCCTCTAATACTTCCTTTGACATAACCTACGGCAGTCCCAAAAGAAGCCCACCCTGAACGCTTTCCTAGCGTAAGACGTCCGAGAAGAAAGCGCCAAACAAACTCGGACGACGCTGCTGCCGATGGCCTGAAGGGCCTTTGTTCCTGACCCTCTGAGCGGGATAAACCCAGAGGTGTGTAGCCTCGCTGCCGGGGGTAGGCAGAGAGGTGTGTACCTAGGGTGTGCCCTAAGCTTGTAACACCCGTTGCCAGTCTCAATGTGCAACGGGGCCCTATGCGCCTTAACGCACTCGTTAAGGCGGAGCTGTGAAAAGAGCGGGTTAGACTACTGGGTACAGCTAGGGGAGCCCCCAGAACTGTGGTCCCAGCGCCCTTCCGATAGTTGACGTTACCCTGAAGGGGTAAACGCCGGTGTGATCGGGTCACACACCACCTGGGTTGTTGACACCGTAAGGTTACCCCCAGGTACCGCTAAACTGCGGTTTTGAAAAACAAGCGCAGACTTGTGGTGTCAAATAGTAACGGGACTGCGCTAACGCCTTGAAAAAGGCGCGCGCAGTAATAGTAGCAGTGCTACGATTTGCTACGGCGTAGCAGTGGTCGTAGCAGGGCTACGAGTTGCTACGACGTAGCAGGGACGTAGCAGTGCTACGAAGTGGGCGGGGCCTGCGTAGCAGGCGCGAGCTGGACGGCGTAGCCGCGGGGTGCGGCGTGCGGGGGGTGGAGTTCGGAGCGGCGCAGCGTAGGAGCGTGCGCTAGCGGCGAGAGTCCGTAGCGAAGTCGAAAAAGTCGCCAAGACAACACGCCGAGGGTCATTGAACGGCGGAGAATCTTAACACCGCGATTCAGAAAATGGACTAAAACTAACAACACCATCTAGTTACAAAATTGGAACTAAAACTCTATTTGACACAGATTCAAATTTCGGTTGACGTTTGAACACCTTTTATCTCCGAAGGGGCAGGCAGAGAGGTGCACATTATACCACTGTACAATGTAACACCCACTTTTCACTATTTATGTTATGAGTCCCATGTAATAGGGGGTGAACCTATTGCCATATACCGGGCCGAATTCCAAATTTCGTGCTACTACTGAGAATTTTTCATAAATCCAGAAGCACTTTGCCCGATCCGGGAATCGGACCCGAGACCCCTTGCCCAGCAGTCGCACTTGTGGCACTCGGCCAACAAGGCAATCATTGAAATTTTCCATTGAACACATTAAATATATTGAAGTCAAATGAATATAAATAATAATAAAGATATAAATATAAATAAAGATGGCTGATGATTTTGCTGATGATTATTACTGCCAATTTAATTGTTAAGTCAAAGAACATATGTTCAGTGACTTCATTTCTACGTTTCCACCGTTGGTGAATTAATGTATAGTATTTCGCGGCCAAGCGACATTTCTTTTCTAGGTAGATACTGTTCTAAAAACTAATAATGAACTGGTCATAGCAGTGAAAAAGGAAAGTAACGCAAACTTACACACACATAATATTTTAATCAAATGGTGTTTTTAAAGTCTGTCACAAAACCTAGAATATACATACATACATACATAACATACATAACTTCACGCCTGTCTCCCATGGGGGTAGGCAGAGACTAGGGAACCCCAATTACTACGATTCCTACATACCTCTTTCGCTTCATCAACAGTCATCAATCTTTTCATGCATGCTCGTCGGTTAAGGGTAGAAGGTTAGAATATCCAAATTACCTTTAGATCCTCCCTAAACTCCTTGATACCATATGTCTTGGTGACGACCACTGTGAACGACGTGTACTCGCAGATATAGGTCGCCAGTCGCGTCAGACAAGTTCTGCCAGACCCACCTGAAGGATACAAGAAGTGAATTGTCTCGGAAGCATTTATATTAGATAATGATGTCCGGTTATTAGACCAATAAACCACTTTGGAATATCAAACAAAATGTTACTGAATGATAAAAGGGTCAGTCAGCCAGTCAGTCTCTTAGTGAAGGTTTGCTCGTTCTTATGTTTAGATTTCTATGGAGAAGAACAGACAGGAAACTCCATCTACTTGTCAGTCAACTCCAGTGTCAACCTGAGTGCCAACCTCAGTGTCAACTTCAACCTCAGTCTCAGTTTCAATCTCAGTCTCAGTCTTAGTTTCAGCTTCAGTTTCAGTTTCAGTCTCAGTCTCAAACTCAATTCCTACCTTGGCCTGGCCTCAACCTCAATATCGCGCCTCAATCTCAGTCCGAGACTGAGACGGGATTGATTGATTCGCGTACGAAGTCGCTGGCAGAAGCTAGTTTCACTAGTGTGGGAGAGCATGCTTCGGCATGAATGGGCCGGCTCGACCGGAGTGATACCACGAACTCACAAAAACAGACGTGAAACAACGCTTGCATTGTGTTTCGTCGTGTGAGTTAGGTTACCGGAGGCCCAATTACCCTTCCCTTCCCCAATCTACCCAATCCCTGAATCCCTAACGATCCTCAAACTCCTAATCCCCAAAAAACCGGTAACGCACTTCTAACGCCTCTGGTGTTCCAGGTATCCATGAGCGACGCCGATTGCTTACCATCAGGTGATCCATCTACTTGTCTACCGGATTATGCCATAAAAAAGACCTCAGTGTCAACTTCAAACTCAGTCTCAGTGTCTCAAGTTAATTGATTTGCTATACTCACCAATACCAACACAGAGCATGTTCCCCCTGGGCTGTGAGATGACGCGGACAATACGACAAACATGCTCGATGGCGTCCTTGAATAGCACCAGGTCCATCTTCACTACTCCTGGACAACTGTTGTACTCTTCTAGTTGGTTCAATATGTATCTAACAAAGAATGTAAAAGAGAAGGCTTTTGAGTGAAAAATATAGATTCAGTAGAATAGTGAGAGCCCTGTAATTAACATAAAATTAGATTAGTAGAATGCTTTTGTGTCAGCTTGGAGTTGTCATGCTCACTCAAAGGTCTCATTGGCGGTGGCGCGTGCAGTGGATCGCTCGATTCCCTACAATATGGTTGAGTTGGGCGGTGCTGGTGTACGTGTCATGTTCGTGAACGGGCGCCGTCAACTGGGACTGGTCAGCTCCAGACTGTATTACTGTCCTTAAAGTTATTTTCTTTTTTTATCACTTTGACTGGATTTTAGTGTTACATTGTTCTCGCACAATCCAAACAGCAAACTATGTAACTAGAAAATTGTATTGTGAACCTGATTGAAAAAGAGTAACCTATGGAGTTGCTCGTTCTTCTCTATAGGAATCTACACCTTGGAATGAGCAAATAGCTTCACTTTTAATTTTATTGTTGACGTTCAAAAGTGCCTTTTTGGTCTAATTGAAATGGATGAATTTTGACTTTGACTTTGAATAACAAATGCTCTAAAATAACATGCTGAAAGGTGTTCCATTGAGCATGCTCAGAAATATTCAACAATCGAACGTCTGTATACCTACCTATTCGATTCGCAAGTATACCTGAAATGCGCAATGAGCTAAATATAGCAAAAATAGAGCAACATTCCGCTGCTAACTGACAAGTGCTTAATTGAACCATGATTTCGTGCTTGAAATTAGCATAATGTACATTACATTTACAGCCATTGCCATGACAGCAAAAAAAAATCCGTGCAACTGTGATAAGAATTATAGTCAGAATTTTATTTAGATTCCAGATTTGACAATAGCTACTGTCATTTTGTGAAATAATGATACCACATATAATAGTGTAGTGATTCACACTAAAATCGATAAACAATCAGTGTGTTTTATAATAAATGTTACAGAAAGTGACAGGATAGCGATAGCGATGACGGCGACAATATGTAAAAATATCTGTTTTATTTGTCATGTTCCTTCATGATTACTTTTTTTTATTTATTTCACACACAATTATAAAATAAAAGTTTCAGATCGTTAATTAATCGTCAAAACTAAATTATCGGTTCAGAAATATTTAATTTCCTGATATATTTAGTTTACGAGAGTAAAATTATAAACGAGAAGAATCGATCCAGAAATATTGCATTTCCATATCGAATAATTTCGCAACGTCACTATTTAATCGAATTAAAATTCCGAGTATAGTTTTTTGTCTAGGAGAAAAGTTAACTTACTTGCGCAACGCATCAGGGTCATTCATATCATCATACACCTCGTATGGGTTGAGGAAGTGGCCGAATAAGGGAGGACTCTTGGACGGACAGAGGCCGTGGAACGTCAGCTCGAAGTGCTTACCCAGCATGTCACCCACGTGGTTCAGGAACCAATCGCGGTCTCTACGCAAACAATAAAATAGCATAACATTACGCCTTTTATCCCCGAAGAGGTAGGCCGAGGAATATATTACGGGACTGTACAATATAACACCCACTTTTCACTATTTTATGTTATAAGTCCCATGTAATAGGAGGTGAGCCTATTGCCATATACCGGGCACAATTCCAGACACCGTGCTACTACTGAGATTTTTTCTAAAAAAAAGCCCCGTATTGCTTTGCCGGGGAACCCAAGACCCCTTGCCCGGCAGTGGCACTTGCGACCACTCGGCCAACGAGGCAGTCAAATAAAATAGTATGTATGTACATCCAATAAATAACTTCTATTGAATGAGTTATCCTTTTGAGCGCCTCGATCGGTTTTAAACGAGAAACAAAATGTCCTTAAAATGTCCTTATTGTGTGTCGTGGCGTAATAAATAAATGGATGTTCTTTCTTTCTTTCCTTAAAAACCCTTACGCGAAATCTGAACTATCCAATACAAATATAATAATCGAAATCGAATCAGTAGTACTGGATATTACCGCGTTTAAACAAACACGTTATAAAATGTAATAAAGTATACATTCCTTAGTAAAAAAATATTAGATTTTCTTACTTCTCCTCAGTAAGGCGGTCGCAGAAGACTCGGAAGCATTCGTGTATCCACAGCCGAAGGAACCGCGGCTTCGTGTTCGTATAGTCTTTGTTACTGCGTAGCAGGCCCTGGATACCAATCGTATTTTATTTTATTTGTTAGGATTACACCATGCAATACTACCGTACACAGTGCACTTGAACTATCTATCTCTTATTAAATTTTGTTTCAAAATAATTGATAAAGACTAGGTGGATCAGCATCATCTTCTCACACTGAGGTTTGAGCATTAATCATCACGCTTGCTCAATACGGGTTGGCAATTTCAAACTTATAATTAAAATTATAATCAATAGCAGTGCAACAGTCGCCTCATCGCAGAACGCTGCTTATAGATATGAGCCTCTAGCATGGCTTGAAACTAGTCGAGTTCATCGTCAAATAATTATAATAAAAAATTATAAACCCAGGTTTCCTCACAATGTTTTCCTTCACCGTTTGTCAGTAGTGTCGAAATAATCTTAGAAAGTACATGTAACTCAGAAAAAATCACATTGGTACTTGCCGTTGCTAGGTTTCGAGCTCGCACCCTCATGCATGAGAAGCGGGCGTCTTAAACCTTCAGGCCACCATGACAGTTAGTAGAAGTAAAGACTAGATTTTAAGTAACCATTAAATATAATAATCGAGTTATAAGAGTATGTCGGATATGGCTGGAGTCCTCCAGCTAGGTGCAGTGATGACTTTGCAAACTATACTTTACACCACACCGCTAAATACCATTTTTCTTAGAAAACATTATTTGTTTCTTTACCTGGAAGATCTTGGAGATATCTCTCAGGTTGAAGAGGTAGTGCATCTTGCTTGGGGTGGGCAGTAGTTTAGCTACCACGTTGTTGAACATGTCTATTGTCGCTATCAGCACCGTCTTACCTGGTATAAATAAATGTCAGATCATGATTCTGATAGAACAAATTGTTTCCAAATGGGTGAGAGAGCTATGTTTCAGCGCGAATGGGCCGGCTCATCCGGATCGATACCACAGCTTTACCAAAAACCGGTAAGAAAATCATTATCATCATATCAACCGTAACGACTTCTAAAAAAAAAAATTAAAATCACCAATGTAACAATTCCCAATCCCGTATCTTCTAATTTTTAATCCCTAAAAAGCCGTCAATACACTTATATCATCTCTAATATTACTATTGTCCGTGAATGACACCCACCGCTGACTTTCAAACAGCTTAGTATGAGCTTTTATTATTTTTAACGATATCGAAATGTTACAGTGTTCTGTGCTCCGATTGGCCCGTTAAGGTTGAAACACAAAACAAACTCGTATCTACAAAGTAGTCTCTCAGGTTAGCTATCTAATTTGCCACCTTATGCCATAAAAACATTCCCGAACGTACGGCACGTCGCGTTCCGCACGCGCCTCAAAGAGCCATCAGACCACCACAGGGCTGATGCCGATACGAAGCCGCGGAGGACTTAACGGGTTGCCGGGGCTCCGGCTTGAAGACCAGGAGTAGGAACGGGGTGGTTTTTAGTCAGTAAGAGTCTGACACTCCCTCCCGCCTCACCCGGGCGGGAGAAGTCATTCGATGATATTCCCCCTTAAAAAAATGCCATAAAAACATTGGTTAAAAACTAACCGACAGACTTGGTCTCCTCGTCGAAGTCCAGCAGATGCTGTCCCAGCATGGTGCCGAATATCTTGACGAGTTGTTGTTGAGTGGGCGAGGCGAGGTAGAAGGAGTGGAAGCAGGACAGTAGCCGCGCCGGCAGCGGGGACCGGGCCCCGCCGGGGGGACCTGCCGCGCCGCATAGTACCATGTTCTACCGGAGATATTATATAGTTAGTATTACTAATACGTGATTTGGTATTATTATTTTCCTATCTAGCTCTGAGTATCAGTCTCAATTCATTTATCTCGATGTAAGCCTCGGTCTCAGTCGCAGTCTTATTCTCAGCCTCGAACAGCGTACATTTCGTCCTAAGCCTCGGCCTAAAGCTGCATCAATTTCAGTCATTCTTGAACAAGTGTTTGCTAATGTCTCCGTCTTGGCCACAGTCTCAGTCATTCAGCCACTCTCTATTTCACTCTCCCTTTATAACTCTCCCTTTCTCTACTTAAAGTATATGGCCTACCTTGACATTCTTCCTCCACTGCTTGGCCCTGTCGAACCAGTATCCGTAGTCATGCCACAACCGCACCAGTTCCAGCGGCGGCTGGGACCCATAGTAGTCACGGACTGGCATGTTGATGTCGTCCATGAATGCTATCATCTTCTTACCTGGACCGACAAATGCAGGTGTGATGAGACAAATGGCCCAGGGTTGTGGGTAAAGAGGCTCTATGGGACCGCGTCTCCAGCTCGTCATAAGTTGGATATCCAATCCCATTCCCCTCTCAAAAAAAAATTGTTAGAATACCAATATTCCAAACCTTTTTTGTTTTTTTGGTGTCTGGCCCACTGTCATCAGTTGGCCAGCTTTGTCGGAGTACGATGACTATTTGGGTAAGTGTTCTGAAGGGAAACCCAATTATGTTTTTAAGTGTGGGAGAGACATGCTTTGGCACGAATGGGCCAGCTCGACTGGACCACGGCCGAGCAGAAAAGCGACATAAAACAACACTTGTGTTGGTTTCGACGTGTGAGTAAGGTTATCGGAGGCCCAATTACCCCCTCCCTAATCCCTGAATCCCCAACAATTCTTAAATACTTAATCCCCAAAAGGCCGGTAACGCACTTGTAACGCCTCTGGTGTTCTGGATGTCCATGGGCGACGCCGATTGCTTACCATCAGGTGATCCGTCTGCTCGTTTACCGGGTTATCTCATTTAGAAACAAGAAAATGAAATGCTCTATGACCAATTGACCAACCTCGACAAATGGACTTTACAAGCAAAAAGATTTTATCAATTTCATCTTGTTTAATTTTATCTTGGAGTTTCTGACATTAGCTCGTTTCAACCAAACAAATCCATTAGCTTTATAATATTTGTAAAGGTGTTGTAAGAGACGATGATTCCCGTACCTCCAGCAGGTACATAGTTCCCCTTGGTCCGTTTCTCAAGCCTGGCCTCTATGATATCCTGCACGTTGGCGGCCGTCGTCTGGGCAGACATGTTGATTATTTGCGTGCTGTATCTGTAGTGGAGATGGTATCAGGTATTATAGTCAGTTGTTTATCATCGCACACGCTGCTCATGTGGAAGAACCCGTCTGTGGCTCGAAACTAGTAGAGCTTTTTTCAGTATACCCACGTGACTAGTCCGCGATGGTTAAATGTGAATAAGTTGTAAATGGTCCTAATACTGTATATGTGTAATAATTTTATAATTTTGTAACGAAATGTATAAGTCAAGTAACTAGAACATTGACAAAGTAACTGTCTAAATTAATATATTTTGTAGCACATAATATTTAATTTTAGCATGCTGTTTTATTAGCTCTGAACATGTTTGTGCCTATTGTAAACCTAAGACCTTTTTATACCATGATTACTGCAAATAAATGTTTATATTATTATTATTAAATGAAATAATTTACTTACTTTTCAGGATCTAAGCTGTTGAGTGTCCCCTGTATAAGGAATGTCTTCCCAGTGCCAGTAGGCCCCCCTATGAGCACTCCGTACCCGGCCTTCAACATGTCCAGCGCTATTATCTGGATGCGAATGAACTCCATAGTGGGAACCAAGATCGTGTGGAAACCAGCACTGTATGAAAAAAAGTTGTTTTATTTCATTTTTTGTACATTTCTACATTCTATACACCGATATACATAATTATAATAATAATAATGGGCATACATCGGAATAGACAATACACGTCCTACAAGAAAATAATGAAGTGTGAAATAAAATAAATGACTGCCTCCTTGGCAAAATGGTCGCATTTGCGACTACTGGGCAATCTGTCTCAGATTAGATTCCCGGGTCGGGTAAAGTATTACTGGGTTTGAAAAAATTATCATTAGTAGCTCGGGATATTGCCCGGTATATGGCAATAGGCTCACCCCTCTAATACATGGGACTCATAACATAATAGTAAAAACTGAGTGTTACATTGTACAGTGCCATTAAGTGCCGTAACGTGCACCTCTGCCTACCCCTTCGGAGATAAAAGGCGTAATGTTATGTTATGTTATCAAATAACAATATGTATTTCTTTTCAAGAGCATCATTTTCAAAATTGGTACCTACACTGAGACTTGTGATTCAATATTCTATTTCTATAAACAACTGGCCCTGTGGCGCAATGGATAACGCGTCTGACTACGGATCAGAAGATTCCAGGTTCGAATCCTGGCAGGGTCGAAAAACATTTTGTTCAATATTTTACAGATTACTTAAATAATTTCTTTTTTAATAGTTTTACATAACCTCACGCCTTTTATCCCCGAAGCGGTAGGCAGAGGTGCACATTTTACCACTGTACAATGTAACACCCACTTTTCACTATTTATGTTATGAGTCCCATGTAATAGGGTCCCATGTAATGCATGTAATAGTATATGGCAATAGGCTCCCGGGGTGAGCCTATTGCCATATACCGGGCACAATTCCAGACTCCGTGCTACTACTAAGAATATTTAAAAACCCAGTAATACTTTGCCCGACCCGGGAAAAACCCGAAATTTAATATTTTTAAAATAGTGTTAATACTGACGTGGGATTAAATTTCCAATTGTCAGGGAGTTTCTCCTCCCAGGGTTTGAACTGTGCGAGTCTCTCGTCTACGTAGTAGTCGTAGACAGTGTCCTTGAGTGGGAAGATACCTTCATGTTCCCGTATCCAGTTGTCTAGCCTACGACGCGGCTCGTCTTCTAAGGTGGCACACACTGACCATATCGTACTGCAAGTAGTTCAAATGGTTGATATTTATTGACTGTACCTATATAACTTGAAAAAACATTATCTGTGGTTTTGTGGGTAGATTTTTGATATCTACAATCAAAATAGGAGCAAGATAAATAAATACTTTGTATACGACTGATTTTGTTAGTTATACATACTTGATGGATAAGAGCAATAGGGTAGTTTCTTTAATTTTATTTTAATGTCCGTCTGGTACATCAATTTAAAACTTTAGACACGTATTTTTTCTTGTTACTCAAAATTAAATACTTTAGACGATATATTAATTTGAAATATCGTGTGACGTCACAGTGTGCCACATTTTGTAACACGTTATGACGTAACAACCTCCCACTCCTAAACTTAGCGCCATTTTATCTAAGTATTGCAACTTAATAAGAGAAAAAAATACGTGTCTAATATTTTTTCGTTAAACTAACTAACGGACGAATTAGATTTTAAATTTTGATACCCTGGAAAGTTACTCAATTAATACAGCTGTCTTATGACAATGTTCATTTTAAGTTTTTATATTTAGTGACAACATTATTGTATTGGGTGTAACCTGTTAGGATTTGTTGATTTGATTTAAATAAAATCGCGTAAAAATGCACTTCATACAACACACGTCAGTTCTAAAGACTCAGATTTAATTTGAAGGTGACTTACGCAAACAAGAACCGCATCTTAGTGAGTCCCTCGATGTCGGACTGCTCGTCGGGCAGCGCGGGCGCGGGCTCGGGCAGGCGGCCCAGCAGCCGGCACATGCAGCGCACGCCCGTCAGCTCCTGCCCGCGGACTGACTCGCCCTCCTGCAGCGACGTGCGCTTCAGCTCCAGGATCGGGGTCAGGATGGACAGGAAGAACCGACGGAGCTGTAGAAGGAATTCAACAGCGTGTAAAAAAGAACTGTTGAGATTTTTCTGTCTAACAGGCGTAATTAATAACTAATTTACTATCTTCTGCCAAAATCTGAGAATGAGGATCGTCTTTTGATATTAATTCTATAGAGTCGCAGTGAAAAGAAAATAAATCGTACATCCTTACCAATATTATAAATCGGAAAGTGAGTTTGTTTATTTGTTTGTTCGTTCCGATTTCACGCCGTAACTACTAAACCGATTGCTTTGAATTTTTACAGACGTGAAGTTAGAAGTCTGGATTAAATAATAGGGTATTTTTTATCCCGGAAAATTTGATATTCCCGAGGGAAAACACACGTATTGGTTTAGATGGCGCTGTATATATTGGTATATGTCACATAGGCTACTTTTTATCCTTCTGTGACGCGAGCGAAGCCGCGGGTACTACGCTAGTATACATACTAGCTTTTACCCGCGGCTTCGCTCGATGGCTTCGCTCATAAGCGACTGTCATCTATTGATACTCCATAGCTTACGGGGAATAATCTAATGAATCATCATTCGTTACTTAGATAGGTACTGTTTTATTTTATCTTTTTTAAACATTAGCACTACTACATAACAATTGGTTGCTTAGCACTCACCGACTGCAAGTCCAACTACATAAGTAAAAACCGTCGTTGGTTAATATAATTCTTTTATTATGCATTTTAGATTATTCATTTATTATTTATTTAATGTCGTGGTGGCCCGGAGGTTTAAGACGCCCACTTCTCATGCATGAGGGTGCGGGTTCGAAACCTACCAACGGCAAGTACCAATGTGACTTTTTCCGAGTTATATGTACTTTCTAAGATTATTTAGACACCACTGACAAACGGTGAAAGAAAACATCGTGAGGAAACCTGGACTTATAATTTCTAATTATAAGTTTGAAATCGCCAACCCGCATTGAGCAAGCGTGGTGATTAATGCTCTAACCTTCTCCGTGTGAGAAGAGGCTTTGCTCAACAGTGGGCATTTATAGGCTGTTGATGATGATGATTTATTTATTATATATCAGGCTTCATAGTCGAATAATATAAACTACTACTTACTAATACTATTATTAAAAAAATCATAAAGAACTAAGTCACACGACGTCCTCAGGACCGTCGGTAGACGGCACCTCGCGGCCAAGACTCCTCTTTCATTAAGGGTAACAGATGTTCAGTCGTCACCCTGACTACTTGAAGGACAAAGGACTTGAAGTTCACTCTGTGTTGAGAGTGCAGCTGCTCAACCTTCAGATGAAGCTTTGTCTTGATTTTTAAGAACTCATGCAGGCGGGACAGGAAGTGCAGTGTTGCTGGTACAGCAGGTCGCAGCAGATAATAGTGTCCTCTTAATACGGTACCGCACTAATTGCGGCAAGTAAGCTTCCTCTCCCTCTTTCTTTCGACTAGGGTAAAGCCTTCCTTGTCGTTCTGGTTCTTTTTAGGAGCCTCCTAATGCAGATCTGCATGTTGATTTTCGCTTTGTTGGGTCTGCTTACCCCTTTTGAGGCAATGGTAGTGTACACACGATCGGCGGTCGACGTATTATGTATCCACAGAATTACTAATTATACTCTACCCATTACGATGCGCGTATCTGTTCTTTGTCTGTAATAGCCTACAAAACACAAAAGCTACGTAATATGTGAATATAATATCTCTATTATTATAGGCAGGTACTCACCATCTCCCTATACTCAGGAGACTCGATAGTTTCGAGCCAGGAGTTGACGTAGGGCCACCAGCCCCAGTCTTTGTAGTCATTGTACACCATGCCGTTACGTGATACTGTCGCTGGGGATGCGACGGCCAGGTCCAAGGTCTCAATTAGTAAGGTTACCTAGACAAGAAATTTAATAAAGTCTACTTTTCATTGAAAATTGTAAAGGTATTTTAGGAGGTGAACAAGCAGATGGACTATCTGATGCTAAACAATCGGCGTCGCTCATAGACATTCCGCTACACCAGAAGTGTTCCAAAGAGCGCCTCAAAGAGCCAACAGACTACAACAAATGGGGCCAAGTAAGGCTGATGCCCGATACGGAGCCAATACGGAGCCCAGGCCAACAGATTGCTGAGGATCCGGCTCAAAGAGTAGGAGTAGAAACGGGGTGGTTTTTAGTCAGTAAGAGTCTTACACACCCTCTCGCCTAAGGCGAGAGAAGTCATAAGATGATTTTTCCCCCCTCAAAAAATAGGCTTTGCAGAAGGGTATATTAAAGATTTCATCAATTGTTTGTGACCAATAAATGGTTGTGTTAAAATTGAAGTTGTCCCAGTGACCTTTTTGATATTGGAAGCACAATTCCAAGAGTTTTATGGTTTTAAGAAACCATCTGCTTTCTACAATTGGGATGATGACAGGGTATGAAAATTAAAAAAATTAGTCCGTTAGTTAGGTAATAAAAAAATATTAGACACGTATTTTTTTATTTTGTCGTATATTAAAACAATACTTAGATAAAACGAGCCAAAGTTTAGGAGTGGGGGCTAAAACGTCATTTCTACGTATAAAATGTGCATAGAAGTGACGTCACGCGACATTTCAAATCAATATATCGTCGAAAGTATTCGTTTCTGTCAGAAAATAAAAAATACGTGTGTAATGATTTGAAGTAATCTACCAGACGAACATTAAAATAAAAATTAGACATCTACCCTATTCTTTGAACAGTACCTAAGTAGGAACCTATTTTTATTTTGAGCACCGCTTCACCTGTGAAGGCATAGATATTCTCTCGCTGTTGACCAGAGTGAGCAGCTTGTTGTCGTCCATCACAGAGTTGAGGTTCTCTATCCATATAGCGTCCACTGGACCGTCGAATATTATCCACTTCATATCCGGAGAATCATCTAAATTATTATAATTATAATGTATGATACAAGCTCTCCTTTTGGCAATGTTAGATAGATGGAGTAGGGTTTAAGAGTTATGCTGACTGATTTTTAGATGACTGCCTCGTTAGCCGAGCGACTGCCGGGCAAGGGATCTCGGGTTCGATTTCCGGTCGGGCAAAATATATCTGCGGTTTAAAAAAATTCTCAGTAGTAGCACGGAGTTTGGAATTGTGGAATTGTGCAATTGTGGAATTTGGTATATGGCGATAGGTTCACTCCCTATTACATGGGACTCATAAAATAATGAAAAGTGGGCGTTACATTGTACAGTTGCATTAAGTGCCGTAATGTGCACCTCTTCCTTCGGGGATAAAAGGCGTGATCCTATGTTATGTTATGTATGTGAACTTGACGTTTTGGTTTCATAATAGGCTCGTCGCAAATCATATGAAATGAAATATAATATAATAATATAATAATATAATATATATAATATGGGACGACGTGCTCCAACGTAGACCGCATCATCGCTTACCAACAGGTGAGATAGTGGTCAAACGTCGCCCCATCAATTATAAAAAAAAAAAAAAAAAAAAAAATAAAGCTAACTACCTATGTAGGTAACTGTTAAAAGATCCTGGGTAGGTACCCATAAGGACATCAGTCGCAATTTCATATTAATCATTCCCACCAAGATTTTAAAACATCTTGTCTTAAACAAATTAGCTACACTTACCTTGACAAGTGGTCCTCATGATAGAAGACAGGACACCATCCTTCCACTCTCCAGTAGCCAGGTTATACTCCCCGTACAACTCTCCCAGAGTCAGCGCCTTAGGGTTCATGGGGAAGGTGTGGACTACTTCGAACCCTGGCTGCTTCTCTCTATTGAGTCTAGTCAGGGTCGCAGCCAGCATCCTCCAGGATACTGACTTAGCTGTGTTCGTATCACCTAGCAGGATACTCGAGTGACGGGAATTCTGAAAAGTTAAGGACGGAAATCGGAGAAGGCCTTTTTTATGGAATAGGTGGCAAACGAGCACACTGATCACCTGATGGTAAGCTATCAGCGCCGCCCATGGACACCCGCAAAACCAGAGGAGTCACAGGTGCGTTGCCGGCGTTTTAAAAAGGAATACGCTCTTTTTTTTTGAAGGTTTAGGCCTACCGAAAATCTTTGATTGAGTATACCTACAATATTCTTGAATGCATTTTTAAACTAATTAAGTGATAGCTTAGCACGGGGCTTTGAGTCGATATCTGGAGAATATAAGATGGGCTTTTCGATTATTGAAATTCTTAATATCTGCTAAGAATCCGTGAAATGAAACCGAACGCCTAGAGCATAGAAATAGGCATGCCACTGGTTTTAACATGGGATTCGAACGAGCTGGAGAAAAGTTGATGTTCCGTTATATAAAACGTTCCTGCACCTCTTTTTTATAAAATGGTTACATTACCAATTATACCATAAACATCAACTACACCATATTATCACCAACCTTAGTTGGGTAGGCTCTTGGTGATATTATCTCCCGGGTCGGCCAAAGTATGACTGGGTTTTAAAAAATTCTCAGTAGTATCACGGGGTCTGGAATTGTGTCCGGTATATGGCAATAGGCTCACCAACTGGTTGAGTGGGTGTTACATTGTACAGTGGTGTAATGTGCACCTCTGCTTACCCCTTCGGGGATAAAAGGCGTGATGTTATGATGACCAACCTTAGTCTCGTAAGTCTGTATAACTTTATGAAGAGCGGCCCTAACAGGTTGGAGCCCAGCTAGCCTCATCTCAGCCGTGATGGCAGTCTCCAGCAGCTCGTAGTCCAGGGTGGGAATCTCCACGTCAGGGAAGATGTCCTGCATGATACCGTCGAAAAGAGGCACGTCCTTCGCTGTGAGACGAGCTACATTCATGTCTCTCATCGCTAGAATCACCATCTATGAGAAAAAAATTGGTTGCCTGTAAAGTCGGTATACGGGCGAAAGTTTTACGTGACAACGATGTCTGTCTCTCTCGCTCTTAGGCGAGCTAACCATGCCCGAGTGGAAGGGACGCGTGCCTCTCACTCGCACTCATTGTGAGCGCATAACGTGAGCTTAGCGTAACGCAGTTTCTTGAAGTGTCACCCGGCAAACCAATTTATAAGACGTTGTCACGTCAAAATGTGCTTTAGGAGCAATTCGGATAAAATCTGCGTCGTTGGCCGAGTTGTCGCAAGTGCGATTGCCGGACAAGGGGTCTCGGGTTCGATTCCCGGGTCGGGCAATGTATTACTGGGTTCTTAAAAAAGATTCTCAGTAGTAGCTCGGAGTCTGGAAATGTGCCCGGTATATGGTAATAGGCTCACCCCCTATTACATGGGACTCATAACATAAATAGTGAAAAGTGGGTGTTACAGTGGCATAATGTGCACCTCTGCCTACCCCATCGGGGATAAAAGGCGTGATGTTATGTGTTATGTTATGTTCGGATAAAATCTATTATTTCTTGGCCTTTGACTACATAAATTCACTTTGTTATGTACATACAAACGTCAAGGATAAGTTCTCGGTTTTTATTTATGTGTTACGCGAAGATCCTATACGATTTCTTCGAATTCATAAATTCTTGGCAATACAAAGTCATCAAGCAATTTAGGCTTGCTTTTTTGCTTTATTCAGACTTAGGTAAGTGGTGGAAAATCCCTATCAACTATAAACCTGCCTACGACAATTACGTCTTAAGTTAACATGGTCCTTTAGTATTCTAAACCACATGTTATATTTCTACCCACCTCCTGTTCAGGCAAGTTAGGGTAAGCCCTCCTCTTGATACCAGCATACCGCAATAGTGCGACCATGGACCGGAGCCCAAAGTCATAGTGTTCTTGTTTCGAGAGCTGCTGCATTGCTAGCTGATATAGAGTGAACACCTGGAAGTTGGAAAGTTGGTAGAAGATGGAAGCTGATTGGGTATTGTTTGTCGTAGTAAGTACTTCAAGATTCAGAGATAAGGAACCGCCAAATGATAATGATTCTATCAAACGCGTCATTAATGTTTTTTATGGGATAAGTCGGTAAACGAGTAAACGGTGATCCGTTTACTCGTTTACCAGATTGCTTACCATCAGGTGATCCTGATGGTAAGCAATCGGCGTCACCTATGGAGACTCGGAACACCAGAGGCCTTACAAGTGCATTACCGGCCTTTTGAGGATTAGGAATTTGAGGACTGTTGGGCGTTCAGGGATTGGGGATGTAATTGGTCCACCGGTAACGTCACTCACACGACGTCGGTTCACGCCGGTTTTCTGTGAGGCCGTGGTATCACTGATCGAACCGGCCCATACATCCATCTCTTCGTGTAGGTATGCTCGACAATGGAGAGTGCTTTCCGTATCACTCCAGTAACTTAACCATATACCTACTTATTGAGAAATAGACTCTATGTTCTAAGGGTTAAAGGTGTACCTTTTTAGCATTGATTTTGTAAGCGGTGAACCCGTCAGAGAAGAGTGTGTTCTCAGCAATGATCAGTGAGTCCGGCACGCACATCGCGATCGGACGGAACATGGACTTCAAATTATCTGGCAACTCCGTACGACCCGCGTAACTAATTACAACAAAGATTTATTATTATACAAAGAAAAATACAGTTGGGTATATGGCTACTATTGTACTCAACTTCTCTGTGGGGATTACATAACAAATCAAACAAAAGAGTAGTAAGTAGTCTTAACTACGAACAATTTTATTTATTTATTTATCATTTATGTACACTATAAAGCAGGAAATATTCAAAGTCAAAGTCAAAAGTCAAAATCATTTATTTCAATTAGGCCAGAATGGCACTTTTGAACGTCAACAAAAAAGAAATTGAAAGTGAAGCTATTTGCTCATTTCAAGGCGTAGATTCTTATGGAGAAGAACGAGCAAGAAACTTCATAGGTTACTCTTTTTCAATCAGGTATTACAGAGGACAACACTTTAAAAGCGTGAGGTACATAGGTTTTAGTTTGCTGTTTACGTAAGTTACCGAAAAATAGAAATGGCGCAATTTGTTGAATAGGGCTCACAATTACCATCAGTAGTATGCATGACGACAAACAGTGAGGTCGCACAAATAACAGACTACTGGCGACCTCCTCATGCGAGGACACTAAGACTTAATAGTCTTTCACTATATTACCTAAAAATCGCGGGTTACTCTCGTCAATATACTCTTTTAGGAGGCTGCGCGACATCGCCGCGACCGCGCAAGCTGCTCATGAGGAAGAACCCCTCTGTGGTTCAAAACTAGTAGAGCTTTTCTTTTCTCAGTATATTCATGTGAGTAACCCGGGATTTTTAGTTAATTTAGTATGTCTCACGATAGTCTTTCAGTATGTCTCGCAAGCATCATTATGAATTATTTTTTACTAGCTTTTTTACCCGCGGCTTCGCTCGCGTCACAAAAGGATAAAAAGTAGTATGTCACATATACCAATACACACAGCGCCATCTATACCAAAACTTTTGTTTTTCCTCGGGTATATCAAATTTTTCCGGGATAAAAAGTACCCTATTATTTAATTTTAATCCAGACTTCTAACTTTACGTCTGCAAAAATTCAAAGCAATCGGTTTAGTAGTTACGGCGTGAAAGCGGAACAAACAAACAAACTCACTTTCCAATTTATAATATTATATATATATATAATATATTATATATTATATTATATAGTAAGGATTAAATCAACAAACCCAGGGTTCATAGTAATGAAGATGCCACAGTTGGCGTCGATTTTGATGTCGTTCCCTTCAAACATGAACCGCTTCTGGAAGAGCGAGAGAGCGAGCAGTACGGCCAGGATCTGCTGCGCCACTACCGACAGTACCTCGATGTTGATGCGGTTGAACTCGTCGAAACAACCCCAACAACCGCTTTGGGCAATACCTGGGTGGAGGAATGGTGTTTATTGTATTTTTACCGACTTCATTGTATTGTACAGTGGTATCAAGTGCTGTAAGAAAGAAGAAAGAGAAAGAAAGAAAAATAATTTATTCGCCAACAGCCATGGACCACCGAATATAAACACACAAAATAACATAGAAAAACAAAAAAAAACAATAAAAACAAAATAACATTAAAAAAACAGCAGTAAAAAAACAATGAAGGCAAAAAAACATTATAAAAAAGCATAATAAAAGAGCAACAGGGTGGCAGGGGCAGCATGTCCACGACAAAAGGGCTAACCAACTCAGTTTAAGCTGGGCACAGTAAGTACCCAACACTGGTTTTCAGTTGGCACCTCTGCAGTGACGCACGGACGGAAGCAACGAAAACTAATTTAAAGGAAAATGATAGGAATACATAAGACACATGTTAAAAAAATAAAATAAAATAATGTAATGTGCACCTCTGCTACCCCTTCGGCGATAAAAAGTGTGATGTTATGTCATAAAGGTAACGATATAAGAACATCAGAATTGCATTTACCAGAAAAGCACTTAGCCATGGACTTATAATCAAGTCCGTCTGAGCAGTTGGTGACGACCACCCATCTGGCCAGAGCTCTGCCCAGGTCCTTCACCGTCTCGGTCTTGCCAGTACCGGCCGGACCTTGAGGGCTTCCACCACGGAACAAATGCAGTGCTGTCGTTAGTGTTATGTAGCACCTGTTGATAATAGTAAACTCGACGTTAGGTAACCTCATAGATATTGATGGACTGCCTCGCTGGCCGAGTGGTCGCAAGTGCAACTGCCGGGCAGGGGGTCTCGGGTTCGATTCCCGGGTCGGGCAAAGTATTACTGAGTTTTTAAAAATTCTCAGTAGTAGCACGGAGTCTGGAATTGTGCCCCTATTACATGGAACTCATAACATAAATAGTGAAAAGTGGGTGTTACATTGTACAGTGGTATAATGTGCACCTCTGCCTACCCCTGCGGGGATAAAAGGCGTGATGTTATGTATAGTATTGATGGACGTTAAACGAAAGAGTAAGTTACCTGTGCCAGAATCAATGACTCGATTTTGACATAAGAGAATGGTAAAGACAATGAAAGACTTCCAGGGTCATTTATATCTACATAATACCTAGTTTCTATAGGGTAGTAGACTAATTTTCTTTTTAACCTTTTGAACGCCAGAGCAAAAACGCATGAACTTGCCCTCAACGCCAGGCCACAAATTCACTGCAAATACCTACGAAAAAAATAGGGATTCCAAAACTTCATCGATAATCAATTTTATTTTCATTTTCGTCTTTAATTTCGAAATATAATGTCCTTATAACATTGAAATTTAATTCAACATTACATTTCTTCCTATTAAAGTAATAGTTATACACTATTTACAGACTTGTATAATACCGTAATAACAGATATGAGACTACAATATATTTAAATATAATAACTGTAGGTACAACACTATTCTTGATCTGCTGTCTTCATATTGTGACCATGGCGTGGACGGCCCGCCATTTTAATAACTACTTCGCTTCCGAAATAAGGATGTGGCAACGTAATATCTCGTTTATCGATGTTCTAGTACAATATTATTTTATAATAAATGAAACACGTTTTTTAAATCAGATTTATAATTCCGAATGTAACAGGTACTTAAAAATATATGATTGAAATAGGTTAAGAAGGTAAATAAAAACTATGAAAAAATAGAAAATTTTAATAAAATGTTATACAGTATGTACTATGTATACATGTTTTTAAATATTAAGTTTTATAAACCTGGCATAAAAAGTAACAAATTAAAACAATTAACGATTATATATAATTATCACAATTACCAATTAGTCTTATACTAATAAATCTTTTGAATAATAGAACAAAATTATAGATTCTGTTTCCGAAAATTCTTCGTCATCTGAGACTCCTTCTAATATGCGAAGAAGTTCTTCCGTAGTCATTAAATTCCCACTCATTATAATAGTCACTTATATAAATCTTGAACTCGATATCACAATAAATTAATCATAAATATTATTCATTCACTTCACTAATTTCTGGTCGCCGCGCTTGTGACGTCACGATATTGTCGTCTAGTCGTGACCATGGCGTACAGGGTACTGATAATTCGGGTTGCGTTAGGGATGCGCTTGAGTTGGGATTAGTGAATATCGAAATTCGACCCAACCAAATTTTATTTTTGACTATGTAGCTTATTGAATGATTTTTAAGACTGGTTTTATAAAATTAATGCTGCTTTATCCTAGTACCAAATTATACCTAAAATAATATATTCCAGAGGAAAGTTTCGAATCGATCTTTGATTTGAAATAATGATATTATCCAACATGCGCTACATCACTAGCGGTCACGCAGTTATGACTCTGGCGTGTGAGGACATTCTTTTTTCAGAGTTTATTTCTTTCTTTTTAACATAAAATTTCTCAATATTTATAATGCAATTTAATTAGTTTTATGGAAATAAATAAATTTTGGACCTTCTATTTTACAGGTATATAAATAAATAGGCATTAAAGTAATGTTTAAATAGTTTATTTCGTGTTTTAATGTACCGCTGTTTTTGTCACATATTTGTGTCGTTGGCGCTCAGGGACAGTTTTCGCTTGTCACGTATTTGTGACCCTGGCGCTCAAAAGGTTAATGTCCGTCTGGTAGATTATTTTTTAAAACATTAGACACTTTCTTTCTTACAAAATTAAATACTTTCGACGATATATTGGTTTGAAATATCGTGTGACGTCACGATTTACAATATTTTATAGGGTAGCGTGACGGATATCGTTAGATCTCCCACTCATAAACTTAACTACGTTTTTTCTAAGTACTAGCTTTTACCCGCGGCTTCGTTCGCGTCACAAAAGGATAAAAAGTGGCCTATGTGACATATAACGATATACACAGCGCCATCTATACCAATACTTTTGTTTTCCCTCGGGAATATCAAATTTTTCCGGGATGAAAAGTACCCTATTATTTAATCTGGACTTCTAACTTTACGTCTGCAAAAATTCAAAGCTATCGGTTTAGTAGTTACGGCGTGAAAGCGGAACAAACAAACAAACAAACAAACTCACTTTCCGATTTATAATATTATATTAGTTAGGATTAGTAAGGATAGTAAGGATTGTTTTCTTATATGACAAAATAAAAAAATATGTGTCTAATATTTTATCATAATCTAACTGACGGACTAATTACATTTTTAATTTTCATACACCGTCTACTACTCTATTTCAAAATATGGTCTTTAATTCAGAAATATATTTGGCACAAATATGCGCAGAAGTAGGCGGTTTCTATATCTCTGGATATCTCCAACGCAATGTTTTATCACCTGTCTGTAAGCGGCGTGATGACGAGCCGCCCCGAGTTGCCGATATATTCATACGTGTAAACGGAGCTGGTGTTGGTCTGCTTGATGTAACAGTCCTCTCGCTCTCGGTCCCAGTAGAACTTCAGCTGAGAGAACCACTCGAACGCGGTCACGTTCATACAGCCTATGTTTTAAAAGAAAGATGTCAAAATATAATAAACCTACCAGTACCTACCTACTTTCTATTGAAGGGATGGCGCACCATTGTCACGCGTGCCATTCACGGCACGGAATATGATCGTTAGTATATCTTATTTGCAGGATCGTTTTCCGAAAATCCTATTTAAAGAATCATCCTGCACGTGTACTGAGACTGCAGTGACCGCTTACCATCAGGTCAACTGTAAACCCCTGTTGTAATTGGAGTACCGTTGGGATTCGGGGATTGGGGAGATGCTCGAATCCCTAACTATCAATCCCCAATCCCCAGCCAAATGGCTGGTAACGCACTTGTAAAGCGTCTGTTGTTTTGGGTGTCCATAGGCGACGCCGATTGCTTACCATCGGTTCGTTCACCGGCTTATCCCATAAAAAAGTAAAAATTTGTTGATGACACACCTAAGACCTCAATATACATTTCTATAAAGTAATTAGCACGTGAATTTAGGGATGACGAACCTTCACACATTGCAGAGCAGGGGCTCGATTGTATCCAACACGTTTCCAGTGACCAAAAAGTTCATAGGACAGTTATAAACTACCTAAGTAGCTAACCAAATATTGTGATGTTTTTTGCTTTGGAGGAACTATGAAAATCCATAGTGATTCTTCCGTTTGCAGCCTATCTGCGGTGTTGACTAAGGCTGATTTTAGTCTCACGCTGACCGTCAGCGCTCATAGCTCAGCGCGTAGTTCGACAGAAGACAACCAAGTCGTAGCTTTATCCGTCAGCGCTGACCAAAGAACGCTTTATAGAAGTTCAAATATTTCGGTTGTCAACGCTGACGATCAGCCTGCAGTCAGCGCGACTCTTAAACCAGCCTAAGAAACGACATTGTTGAATAAGTTTCTTTAACCAGGCCACTGGATTTTTAAGGAGTTCCTTTTTGTGTTTAGGTACTAATACACGCAATACCTATTAATCTACGGACCATACGAAGTGGACAGAAGTTTAAATTATCCTACCACCCTAAACTAGATCTTTAGCCCCTTTTGTTAAGGTACAAAAGCTATTCTCGATAGAAATCTGGACTCAAAACTTACCCATCTTATACATCCTATCAACAGTATCTCTGGAATGTATTTCGATGACGCACAGAGCATTGACTTTAGCGCGCAAAATCTTGCTGATCTCTTTACGCGACATCATCTGTAGCGTGGTGAGGATTTGATTCTGTTTTTTGCGTAATTTCTTTAGAGGTTTCTTTTCTTTCATTATCTCGCAACGACAGAGCGTTCGTGTGCAGTCTGAAGTCCATTGAATCTGGATAGGTAGGTGTATGTGTTATAAATACTAATTAACTAGGTATAAGTCTTTACATATCAACCCGCATTAAACAAGCGTGGTGATTAAAGGTCAAACCTCCATGAAAGATTATTAGATAATGAGTCCGAAAAAATACATATACATACATATATCCATGGGGGTAGGCAGAAACTATAGTCCGAAGAAACTCTGATACTAATTTGCCCGACCCAGAACAAAACACACTGATCGGCAGTACCACTTTTTATATACCTTATTTGATGGGACGACATTTGGCCACTATCTCGCCTGGTGGTAAGCGATGATGCGGTCTACGATGAAGCACGTCGTCCCATAAGCAACCTATTCACTGGGGCCTTGAAGGCACCCAGGTTATATACCCTTCAGGAAATACAGACTCGACCAACACTAACAGAACAGCCTTCTTCAAACAGATATAAGATTAGGTAGATATAAAAATGTAACCTAACCTTGCTAGCAGTGATTCCAAGTTGTCCTGGCCAGTCGTTGATCCACGTCTCTCTTTGGTACTTACACTTCCTCAGAGCCGCTCTCGTCAATATCAGTTGCTAGAAACCCATTTTTTTATATTACGTAGCTATTTTAAAGAAGTACCCAAACTTGGTACCACAAAGTATCAGATAGTAACGTTACTTAACGTAACTAAGCCCTTAGTTTGTTCAACGTCTAAAGTACGTTCAAAAAGTGTGGGAGAGCCATGCTTCGGCACGAATGGGCCGGCTCGACCGGAGTAATACCACGGCCTCATAGAAAACCGACGTTAAGCAACGCTTGCGTTGTGTTTCGTCGTGTGAGTGAGGTTATCGGAGGCCCAATTACCTTCCGCTTACCCAATCTCCCCAATACCTGAATCCCCAACGATCCTTAAACTCCTAATCCCCAAAAAGCCGGTGACGCACTTGTAACGCCTCTGGTGTTCCAGGTGTCCATGGGCGACGCCGATTGCTTACCATCAGGTGATCCATCTGCTCGTTTACCGGCTTATGTATGCCATAAAAAAAACGTAACCGAGAGGAGACCGCGTTAGACGCTGTAATTGGTTAGTTCATAGGAGCCGGTATATCAGAGCGCGGAACGCGGTCTCGTTTCGATTGCTTTAAAAGCAACACAAACTTGTATTAAGTCCTCTGTTCCAAACTCCGCCCCATTACGTTTCGAGTATTTGATCGATTATAAAATCAAACCTAAGACAGTTGGACAGCAGATTGACCGAATTAACAACTATTTCACCTGAGCTTGCCAAGTGATTATAAGGCTTTAAAAACTAAATATGTTGGTTACAGAAAGAAATAATAATAGCTACTATAATAGTAGATAGTACTACCACGGTAATAGTATAATATAAGTAATATTACCGTGGTACTACCACAATAGGGTAGTATAACATATCATCGCGCCTTTTATCCCCGAAGGGGTAGGCAGAGGCGCACACAGACGTAGCACCCACTTTTCGATATTTATGTAATACGGGGCGAGCCTATTGCCATATACCGGGCACATTTCATTAGGGTACCTAGTATTCTAAATTGTATTTTAATGTCCGTCTGGTAGATTAATTTAAAACACATCATTAGACACGTAGGTATATATTTCTTTTTATTACAAAATTAAATACTTTCGACGATATATTGATTTGAAATATCGTGACGTCACGGTTTACTACATTTTTAGGGTAGCGTGACGTAACGACCTCCCACTCCTAAGCTTAACTCCGTTTTATCTAAGTCTTATACGACAAAATAATAAAATACGTGTCTAATATTTTTTCATTACCTAACTGACGGACTAATTAGGTTTTCAATTTTCATACACTGTCTACTACCCTGTTCTATCTACCAAAATTTCTATAATAGTAGAAAAAGCTTACATCTCTAAGCACAACCCTCATGGTATGCTCTAACCCTAGCAGCCAGGCTTCAGCAGGACCATCCAACACCAGGTTATATTTCCATTCCACACACTCTCCATCTTCTGAAGTCATGGCCTTGGCTACTGGGAGACCCATGGGGTTCTGGAAAACAGGTAGGTATAAGCTAAGAGCAGCCAGTTTCTATAATCAATCTTTGCAGATTTGTTTAAGTACCTATCTACTAAATATTTTTTTTTTTGAGCAAATCTACATATAAATAATATACTAGGTGACCCGGCGAACTTCGTACCGCCTAAAAATTATTTTTCTCCCCTTTTAAACCTTCACTGGCCTTCCATGAACATTTCAAGAAAAAAAAGCCAAATAGGTTCAGCCGTTTTCAAGTTTTAGCGAGACTAACGAATACGGTAAAATGGGGTGAATAGGGTTTGAACGGCGAAAAAGGACAGAAGAGGGGTGAATCGATACTATGAAGAACTTCCTTATATCTTATTCACCCCTCTTCTGTCCCTATTCACCTCTCGATCCCTATTGACCCCATTTTACGGTAGCAATTCATTTTTATTTAGATAGATAGATAAGGACTGATTTGTCAATCATCAGTTTCAGTTAATTATCTCTAGAATAAAATTGACATTGAACAGTTTTTAGTACAGAAGAATAAATTGTCTTATATTCAGATTATTCCTCGAATATTTGTGTGGTGTTGGGAAAATCGGCCGTAAAACTAACTGCAAGTCTAACAGCTAGACATTATGCTTCAGCATAAAAGAAATAATAAGAGTTTTAAATACTGGTTACTTTAGACAACTCGTAATTTACCTGGCATGGTAATTAACGCCTAGCTTTATAGTAGCTTATAGTCAAATCGCATATCTTATACTATTATATAAAACTGAATAGTTTGTTTGTTTGTTTGTTTTAACGCGCTAATCTCCGGAACTACCAGTCCGATTTCAATAATTATTTTTGTGTTAGATAGTCCATTTATCGAGGAAGGTTATAGATTACAAAACATCACGCTACGATCAATAGGAGCCGAGCAGAGCGGGTGCAACCGCGAAGAAGTAGCTAGTGTAAAATAATTCAAAACTATTGCTAAAGATAAAGAAATAAGGCAATGCATATCTTTAAATATAAAATACCACATTGTATATAATATAAACAGGAATCATTTATTACAATAACAATAATCAGCTTTACTTACATACAACAAGTACCAACATAATACTATTCAGTCAATTTCTTATAGAAACATTATTCCTTATATCTAATACCGCTATAAAAAACCTCATTACTCTTTGTCAGTATCTTTATATCTACTGTTGGTAACACCATGTATTTTCTCAGGTAATGTCAGTAGTATCTTAAGGACAGCTTTCTTCACTTCATCTGAACGACATGACCAGACTAAGTGGAGGTATTCATTTAACAGCCCCAGCGCTTGTGAAGTTGGGTGGTACATGATGAGGATAACCAAAGCCTGGAATAATACAAGTAACATATAAATTTTCCATGTGTCATTATCAGGCTGTTTAGGAAATGCAATAAAAAGTGTGGGAGAGCCATGCTTCAGCACGAATGGGCCGGCTCGACCGGAGTGAAACAATGTTATGTTGTGTTTCGTTTTGTGAGTGAGGTTACCAGAGGCCCCCTTACCCCAATCCCTGAATCCCCAACAATCCTCAAATTCCTAATCCAGAAGGCCGGTAACGCACTTGTAACGCCTAGTGTTTCAGGTGTCCATGGGTGACGCTGATTGCTTACCATCAGGTGATCCGTCTACGGTCTATGATGGAGCATGCCATCCTATAAGCAACCTATTCGCTTGAGCCTTGAAGACACCTAGGTCATACATACGCAGGAAACCCAGACTCTGGCAATGAATTGCACTCCTTAGCTGTACACAAGGAAGCTTGATGGGAAGCGTTTCATATTATTTTAGATACTATAAGAAATATAGTTTAGAAAACTTACCCTAGTATACAGAGCAGCTTCATTGACATCTTTCCAGTTATGTTCCCATGGAGGGCATTTCTTCAGCAAATATAAAAGTTTGTTCCAATTATGTGAGTATATAGCCTTGCAACAAGCTATCCGATGTACTGATTTGAATGTCTTAAGATCCTTGTCCTGATACTTGGAATTATTTCTACTCTGCTGTAGCTTCAGTAAGTTTCTTTTGCAATATATCTTGATTGGATCAAACATCATTGGACTCTCTATAAAATCTATGACCTTTTTCTGAAAATAGGTTTGTTTGTAAATTTCTAAGGTTAGTTTAAAAAAAATACCAGACTAAATAAAAATTCTAGTCCTAACTTTCATTTGAAGAAATAAGGGCATTAAGTAAGTGCTACGTTACTTTTTATAATAACCTAAAATTTATTGTATCTAATAAAAAGTAATGAGTATCTATTACTTACCATAGTACTCATGGGCACGAAATGACATTTCTCCAATATTTCTTCCATTTCAGATTTTAATTGTAAAATGTTTGATTATACTGATATTTTAAGAGATAGTTGTTCAAAAACACCACGTTTATACACAAATATCACAACAATAACAACAAAACATAGATCCCTATACTTATTGTACTCTTTGGATTAACTTTTGTCAATTTTTGACATTTGTTTTGAATCAAGTTTTGACAAGTTTTGAATCAAGTGTTTGGTGTTGTCAGAATTCGTTCAAAATATTTACTTCGTATAAAACTACCTTTAAACTGTCAAACACCAAGCGGTCACCGGTGACCGCGACCTATTGTTCTTTAATTGTGTCTATAAAACCGGTACTCGACGAGTTAAATTTGTTCTTACAATTTCAATCAGTTTACGTGTAAACTAAAAACACACCTTTATCATCCATTACATTAAAATTGCCCTATAATTCTAACGACAAAACAAATGACTTAATTAACATAAATATGCTAATGATTTCATATCATCTAGTTACCTTATCAATCCTTATTCTAGTCACATTATCAAATAACTTTTTCAAATGCACTTGTATTAGAGATGGTTTCTTTGAATTTCCAAGAATTTCCAGCATATCATCATTGGATATAAAATAAAACCTTGGAAAAAGTTGACGCTTCGTCTCTAGATATTTTTCTAAAGCTCGCAGAATACCATCCAAATTGTCTACCATTTGGTTCAATTTATTAAACAAGTAAGGCTGCGGCTTGTATATGCAAGCTTCTACTGCATTTTTCCCAGCATGCATGCTGTTAATTAAGTAAACAAGTTTTTTAAATTAGATTGACTCATTAATGATCTTTAAGTAAATGATAATATTGACTAGCATTCAAGGCTCACTTCTTTGTAACTTCTGTCCAATCGGCAGTAAGTGCGTCAAATATTAAAACTTCTGCTGGCAGTTGCTTTCTTATATCTTCACCAGTGAAAATAGTTTCTAAGTAAAGATAACGCCGTTGAACTTGTAAAGAAATCTGTTTGAAGAAACCATTGCTAAACTATATTTTAAAACTCTAAGAGATAATAAAAATTCAAACCGAACAAGAATTGTAAGTACCTCAATACACTCAGCTATATATCCCAAGGACTTTTCCCAGTAATCTACTTCTTTAATAAACGGTTCAACGTATTTTGTCGACTTCATTGACGAGAGCTGCACTTGATGGTCTTCAAGAAACTAGGAAATGGTAAAGTTTTTAAATGCTTAACTAACTTACAAGATAAATAAAAAGAAACTGGTTACAAATTTGCTGAGTGTATCATCAATCATTACAACGAACCTGCATGACATCATCTACAGTTTTAATTTTATAAATATCTCCTCTGTGATGTTGCATCTCGAATTTGGTACTTTTCCAAACTTCTCTGATAGCTTTAAGTCCATTCTCAATGTTAAGTTCCATAGTAGCAGCATTAGAGATTTCTGCTATTTCTTCAGCATAAGCTTGGAAATTCAGTTTCATAATCAAATCCAATTTGAAATCCTCCGAGTTCTGGTCAAACTCGCTGTGTATATAAATAAGGTGAAAAATAAAAAAGGTTTTATTTTGTTAACATACTAATTTATTCTCATTTATGCCGTACCTGCTATACTTATGTTCCAAATTAAAAAAGAGATGTTATCATCATTTAAATATACTATAATTAAGCGTTCTTAGCTGCTCACACAAGTTGATTATGGACGCTACCAAACGGGAGCTACACCTCGGTTAATTTGCCAGATGTAGATGCACCATAGCATAAAATATTACAAACTACTTACACGCCCATGAGCACCTTAATTCTATCCCAATGGCGCTCCCTCATGCAGGGATTCTTTAAATCACCTATTAGAGGTAGAGTTCTTCTGAACGCGTCTACTTTAACTCTTGTCGTGTCAATGATTTCCCAATTTCTGTCTTTTAACTGTCGTGACAGTTTATTGAAATTCCTGGAAATTAATGAATAACGATATAGCAGTAATATTTTAAAACCTGATATTTAGAGACTATTTGAAAATTGAAAAAAACTTTACCGGAACAAAAACATGACATTCTCTTCCATCTCATCAGTCTCCATTTCCCAAAACGTTTGAGTTTTATATTTTTCCCAGGACTCTTCCCACTGATTTACCAAGCCCCAAACTTCTTCCAGCTTCTCTAATTCTTTCTCCATCTTCAGAAGATCCAGATTCACTGGTGTACTGAGAATAAAATCAATCAATTTAAAAAACCCTATTGTCTATAACTATTTGAACTAAATTAAATAAAAATAAACGTAACATAATAAGTAATTGTTTGCTACACTTCTAATTAATTTGTACAGAATATGTTTGTACTACAATAATGAATGAAACAATAATGGAAACAAATTCAAATACATTAGTGATGCTCTATTTAAAAAGACTGATATAATCGGAAAATTACGTTAAATTGAATACAGCAAGGCCATCGCGTATGGCTTGTTCTTGTGCACGTAATGCATTTAGTTGTTCTCTAAAAGCTTTCAATTGGGCCAGAGCATCTTTGCCAGAAATATCGGAAGTAATTGGTGCTGTCTTATAGAATTCTTCGCAGAACTCTTTAGCCGCTTCTTTAAATATCTGAATAAAATATTATTCAGATGAGGCGATTAAAAACCAGTGTACAACAATTTTGTATAATATAATTGTATATAATTGTATTCAAATTATTTTGAAATAATATAAAATACAATAGATCTTACCTCAGCTTGATCCAATAGGCCCGTTTTGAATTTTTCTTTGTTTGCTTCCAGATTCTTTTTAGCATCTTCCAAGACACCCAAGTATCCTTCCCATAGCACAGGTATATTTTCATGACGTGTCGTCATATCAGAACTTAGTTCAACCTCGAATTTAACTAAAGTGAGAGTCGAAATAAAATTAAGTGCATTTTCTTTTATTGTAAGAATTACAGTCGTACGAAAAATTACTAAGATCTTACCCAATGTCACCATTTGATCAGATATAGGAGGGAAAGTTTTTTCCATTTGTGGTATTTCGGATATTAAACGATCATAAGTTTCAATACTTTCTTGGAGCTCCTTTAAATCTTGCGGTACCTTAATCATAAAAATATTACTGCAGCTTTGATCATTAAAAACGGCACAGTGATACAAATTAATTTAAAAAACATTTCAATACATTAAAAGTCAAGTTATTACATTATGATCAAAATCATTATACAAACCTTCATAGCTTCTTCACTGCTCTTTTCGACGTAATTGTAGACTACATCAATATCAGCCTCAGTAATACTTCGTAATAATTCTCCTAACTTGGTTTGCCAAACAATACAGTGAGATATAATAGACTTCTTTAACTCACTGGAGTTGAGAGTTATGAAATGAATCTAGAAAAATAAACAAGTAACATTTACTTAACATGCTTGATTTAGAAAAGCACATTTATGTAAGTATATTGATTTTGTTACATCTACCTGATTGATAGTTTCTTGAATTTGAATAGAGTTAGCAAGATTACTGTAATTTATAATAAGTTCATCAAATTCTTCTGCAGTATGCTTTTCAGATCGATAGTTTTCTAAAAATTCGTCTTTGTCTACTTTCCAAATATGCATGTAAGGATCCCACATAGTTAAGTGATCAATAACTAACTGAATATTGTAATCAATTTCTGAAAAAAATGGAACACATTACTAGCTTACTGGAATCTGAATACTATAATTAAAAACATTACATAGAATCCTAAAATGTGAGTAAAATAAAACCGAGTTTACCCTCGTTAATCAGTTTCTGCAATTTATTACAATCTTGATCCGTAGCTATTACTTCAAAAAACTTTCTCAAGCCACCAGAAGGCAGCGAAAATTTTTCATACAAACGAGGAATTGAACTTATTATATGGACTATTTCTTCAAGAACTGTCGTGAATGTATCTTGGATTTCTATTTTTGAAGGTATATAAGTTATATTCTTCCCAACAAGGTAGAGGTCCATTTTCAACAAGGGTGATGGTGCCATTGTTCCTGAAATAATATATATTATGAAATTTTATACTTCCTTATATATACCTATATAAAGCTGAATAGTTTGTTTGTTTGTTTGAATGCCCTAATCTCCGGAAAAACTAAGCGCGTTCTCTTGAAACCAATTTCAATGTCAATGCAATTTCAATCCAATAAAATCTCAATAATTATTCAATGTCAACAGTGTACATACCCATACCGTAGCTGTTGAAATAGCAAACAGAATACAGAATATAAAGCCAACCTCAATACCATTTACTTCATTAAATATACACAAATAGGCGCTAATGTTGCAACTCAAGAATATGAAATTTCACAATATCAATGTCGACTGATCGGAATTGGATTCAAGAGTATGCCCCCTGGTCCGATTAGATTATTTTTGTGTTAGATAGTCCATTTATTTAGAGGCTATAGGCTATATCAACTACATTATCACGCTACAGTTAATAGGAGTTGAGCAGAGCAGATAAAACCGCGTAAGAGTAGCTAGTTGAAGTATATTATATTTTAAAAGAAGTCCTTAAATATTAAAATCATCAACTACAATTAACATGACTTACCATCTCCATGTACACACTTATACATATTTTGCATTGTTGATTTTATACCCAACCTCAAAGCGTCTTCTAAAAGAATATCAAATCTTCTAACATATTTAATCCAGTGTTCTGCCATCTTTGAGAAAATGATAGATATTTTATTTTATTGTATAAATCAGTCGGGTTAAAATGTTGTTTTGATAATGATTTGAAATTAAATACAGTTTATTGAATTTACCTGAGTAATATATGCTTCAAAGCCTTCATAAACTATGACGAGGTAAATCACTATCAATTTATACATGTCTAATACAGAATCCATAGCTGTACTTTCCATTTTCCGTATTTTGGCCCTAAGAGCTTTAATATCAAAAACGTTATAAATATCAAACTCAACGAAAGGAGTATCACAAATCTTTTCCATAATTTTTACTAAATTTACATTACAATTCTTGTACGTAGTTAGGAAATCTTGAAGCTGAAAAAGAAAAAACATTGCTTTCAGTAGGCAGTTGAAATATAATGTCGGGTAGCAACAACAACGGGTAAATTAAGAGATCAATAAAAATTAGGTCAGATTTACTTACTTCTCCAATTTGCATAACACAATCTGCAATGTATGCATCGGACATTGTAGAAGTCCAGGTAAGTTTCGTAATTCCCGGTTGCACTTTTTTCTCACAAGCCTAAAAAATAAATAGTTACCATTTAGTAGTTTTGTTTTGTACCTGACAACATTGCTACAATAACAAAAATAATAATTTTTGGAACTATGAATTTAATACTGTTTTACATACATAGTCCTTGTTTTATGATTCCTATGATTTATTGACAAACTTTTGTTGAATAGTATTTCAAAATTTATTTTTTATAACCAAAATAATAATTAACCTTCCCAACAAAAATTTTTCGTAAAAGTAACGGAACGCATTGCAACTGTCAAATTCACTACAAACTAAAACTGACAATGAAACCTGTCAAAATATTTGAAAATTCGTACAATGAAAATATTATTCGCCCAGTTGGGTTTTATTTATCACTTTAGTTAGCTATTACTTTTATTTTATTTTATTGTAAGTTATTATTTCATAACTCAACATGCAAACAATGATCAATCTAGGGGACCCTGAGCTGGAACTTATGGACCCAACACCAAACGTCCACACATTGTTTATACACTTTGATAAAATGTTTTTTTGGACAAAATTGGCTAGCAGGGCTGTTGTTAGATGGAGTAAACGAATGTACTCCTGTGCTGGCATTTGCTCGTGAGTACATTTAATTTGTTTGAAAAATAAACTAGTGATTTGTTAAAAACTGCTGGGACTAAGTTGAGTCATATCATAACTGTTAATAAAACCCCCATAACATACTCTCAACCGTCCTTTTATCTACTCCAGTTTCAGTTTTATTTATCTCAAACATCTTTGTAGATTTTTATCATGTTTAGATGTTAATGTTGTATGACATATTTAACTTGCAGGTACGAAGGCAGGGGTGGTCTCTGTGATATTGCGCTGAGTGAACCTCTATTAAAACTGCGGCCTCGCAAGGATCTCATCGAGACCCTGCTGCATGAAATGATACATGCCTTCCTATTTGTTACCAATAGAGATCAAGATAGAGATGGCCACGGACCTAACTTTCAGTCGCATATGCACCGGATCAACAAATCTGCAGGCCTGAATATTAGCATATACCACAGTTTTCATGATGAGGTAAATTAATGTTGTTGATGTTTAGTATCTGTTATTTCTGCTTACCTATATGCATATTTTATTGTTATTTTGTTGTTTCTGCTTACCTATATACATATTTATGTATTTATCCCCATATATCCCAAAGCGGTCACCGGTGACCACTCTCCACTTATTACATTATACACCTAATTTCCAATGTTTAGAGACTACTTTTGTACGAACAAATTTAGGGGATGATATTCAACAATTTTCAATGGGTTAATTATATGATTTGACTGAAAATGAGGTTTCTGGTTCCTCAACAACTGATGGTGCACTTAATGGTAACATTTATCCAAACAATAATTTATTTTACTTTTCACAAAATATGTTCTCCTTCCATTCCAGGTTAAACTTTACCAAACTCACTGGTGGCGATGTAATGGCCGTTGTCAAACTGTAAGGCCCCATTTTGGTATTGTAAGGCGCTCCATGAATAGGGCTCCAGGGCCCAATGACTACTGGTGGGATGACCACAAGAGAAAATGTGGTGGCACCTTTATCAAAATCAAGGAGCCAGAGAAAAAGACTAGAGGCAAGGCAGCTCCGGTTACTAAACCAAACGCAGACATTACAAGATATATCACAAGTAATATAAAAACTATTAATAACATACCAAATACGTCTAGTAATAGTAAACCTGTTCTGAAAGATTCCACTAATAGCAAGACTAATACTAATGTAAGGTCAAATAGCTCGAGTACTCTAGTAGTAAGTAAAAAAGGAGTTGTGTTCAATCCCACTTCAGTAAAACCATCAACAAAACCACCTGTACCTCCCATACCAGTATTTACTGGTAGTGGTCAAACAATTCCAGGAAGGCCGCAAAACACCGACAATGTGACTGAAACAGTAAGAAATATATGGGCCAACAAACAAATACCCTCAAAGACAAACTCTAGTCCAGTACTTCAAAAAAAAGTTAAAGCTGTAGAGACTAGTACTAAACCTAATAAGGCTATTAATCAAGTTGAAGACGTTAACAGTAAAAAGCATAAAGCAGACACTAATATCGAACCTCCAGCAAAAATTAAGAAAATTAATGATCACATGAATGCGACATCAATCCTAAAAGACTTGTATGGTGAAGATTATAAATTGACACAATCCAATGATAGTAAAAAGTTAATTGCTGTTCATGTTAAAGTTGATTTAGTTGCCTGTCCTATATGCAATGCAAAATTCAGTAATGAAGACATTAATAAGCATTTGGATGAATGCTTGAATAAGGATATAATTGAGAAACTGAGTAAGGATGAAATAGTAGAAGAAGTCATTAAACCTAGTACAAGTAGAATAGATAGTATACCTGCAAAAGTTAGTGTGAAACCTGAACTTATAGATTTGACTTGGCTACACCAAGACACCAATTCTGTAATTACAAAAGGTAAGAGAAAGACTGAATCGCAAGCTACATTACAATCTGTGGATATAAACAATATGATATCAGAAGTTAAAGACAACAATAGAAGAAGATCAGATAGTTTCATTACCAAAGAAAGAGGAGATTATTTGTCAAACGAAACTAAAATGAAAAAGGTAGAAGAGGTTGTTGATGAACCAAAAGCAGGGCCAAGTACAGAAAAAGAAATTGAGCAAATATGTCCGTGCTGTGGGGTGAAATTTGATAAACCAGTAGAGGAGCATTTAGAGGAATGTTTAACTTTCTTTGACAATAATTCTACGATACCTGACGAAGGGGCGAGTACAAGCTATAGTAATAATACAACAATACTTATAGATGATGAAGAGGATGATATATTTGATGAGACCCAGGTGCTAAATGCTACAGGAACTAAGACGCCTTGTCCCTGTTGTATGGAAATGATGGAGATTGATGACATGAATGCTCATTTAGATATCTGTTTGAAGTGAACTTTATACAGTAATTATTTATTTCATACTAGCTACCCGCTCCGGCTTCACACGGGTACAATATACATGTATTATACATATAAACCTTCCTTAAGAACCAGTCTATCTATTAAAAAAAACCGCATCAAAATCCGTTGCATAGTTTTAAAGATCTAAGCATACATAGGGAGAGATAGATAGCGGATAATTACTTTGTTTTATACTATGTAGTGATTGTGTCAATTTTTTAGTCACTTACTGCCTGTTTTTGATTAAACTCTATTGTAATAATACAATTTGATGCGAGTAACAGTTTTTTTGGTGTGTCTGTTGTTATCCATGCTGATTTAAGATTGTTATATGTCAATCAGATTTTTAAATCAGTTTGGTATTGTTAATTTGCATTTCTTATTGTGCAATCAATGTGCCAATAATAATAATAATGTTCTTATTATGTTTACTTGTTACTTCTAGTTCAATTTCCTTTGATTACGATGTGATATGAAAATAAATGTGATACTTAATATTTAATCAATATACTTATTTTTATTTCATAATTTCATAATTAATCCTTTATATTTTTTCTTAATGTTTATTTATTTATTTAAATCAACACATACTAACAGGTTACACCCAACGCGATAATGTTGTCACTTATATAAAAACTTATAATTAACATTGTTATAACACAGCCATACATATGTAATGTGTGACTATATCTAAAATATTGTTCTTGCTGGCAGAGAACTAATAAGCTGACTATAAAAGATATATATGTAACAAGAAGAACCTAAAGGCTTTTTACGCGATTCAATAAGACGGACTTATCAGACTCCTAAAGAAAACCAAATAAACTTATTTTCAACGACTAAAAGAATTCGGATTAATCCATCAAGACCACCCTGTTTCCATCTTGAGTGAGTACCTGATTGTTGTACTTACCGTGATGAGAGGTTTGAACAGCAACCTCTCCTCTTCAGACAAAGAGTCCAGGATCTTGTTGTATCCCTTCACCACGGCCAATACGCTCTCGTACACGTAGTTTATAGTTGAACTCTTTGAGTAAACCTGATATTGAATGCGTTTTTGATATTAGTACCTGTTGGCTCATTGATCCATGGTTGTAAAGTGAATTCTATGCCTTATGCTTAGGGTTTAACTTGCTGTTAAACTTAGGACTTTATCATACAACTGCCCGAAATTAGAGGTCTTTGTAGCATTTACCTGAAAAGCATGTAAAGGTATGTCCATCATCAAGTTCTCCCAATGCGCAGCTTCATGGCACAGTTCCAGAATGTTCCTAGAAACAAAAACTAAATATGAGCGCTTTAGGTCCTGTCGCCAAAAGTTGCTCAAATTGGATTGTCTTGATGCAATTTGTTGAGACGACTATTACTGAACATAGGCTTCTCAAGGACTTATAGATCGGTCGGTTGGTAACGACCTTTATCAGAACATCTTTGTACCATGCGGTGAACTTACACGTCAATGTTACACTCCAATAGTCCAGGAAACTCTGCACTCTTCCTCATCAAGGTCTTGTTCAATCCTGCGCCACATTTTTCATCCAAGTTGTGCTGGTAAACATAATAGCTTGTTAGGACTTTACAGAAATCATCTCCCTACGAGATGTTGTCGCCAAAGAAGCTTCATCCTACAGTTGCTCCATCTACTTACCGTCCAGGCTATCCAGAGCTCCCTAATGGCGACATCAATAGCTCCCATTAGCCTATTCACGTGCATAATCACATCTTCAGAGCTACTGCAGGGCAGCAGCCACGCAGACGCATCTGTCATTATCTGTTGAAGGGGCACTTTGATAAAAAGAACGGTAGAATATTCGCAATGTTGGTTAAGTACAAGCCGGTGGTTTCTTTGAAAAACTTAAGATTATCTGACAAGTTTGTTGGGATGTTAAATATCTTGAACACTATTCATCAGTGGATATATCAATTGTTTAGGATGGTATGTTATGGAATAGTCTGTTAAGTGCTTTGCTTGGGAGATTTGGTGAGCATTTTGTAGACCGTGACCGAGGTCATTTACTTAAGTATTTAACAACAGCTGGATATCAAATCTTATACTATTATATAAAGCGGAAGAGTTTGTTTTTTTGTTTGTTTGTTTGAACGTGCTAATCTCCGTAACTACAAGTCTGATTTAAATAATTCTTTTTGTGTTGAATAGCGCATTTATCGAAGATGGCTATAGGCTATAAAACATCACGCTACGACCAATAGGAGCTGAGCAAAGCGTGTGAAACTCGCGGAAGTAGCTAGTAATGAGATAACCGTTAAGATTTATAATGCTAAAAGACTGAAGCATAACAAAATCCCACTCACATTTTTAAGGTACACTAGTCTATTCTTCCTCATCTTGAGCACGGAGGCCCTGCCTGCGTATGATGGCATGTCTGCTGGGTAATGGCTTCGTGTAGACACCATGTCCTTCTTGGACTCCTGGACTTCTTCACTGAACATCGCCCACATCTGTTTGTCATAAGTTTTTGTATTATTATTACACTATCGCCAGCTCGTTATAAGTAAGTGAGTTTAAGTTTTTTTTATGGCATAAGCCGCTAAACGAGCCGACGGATCTCCTGATGGTAAGCAATCGGCGTCGCCCATTGACACCTGGAACACCAGACGCGTTACAAGTGCGTTACCGGCCGTTTGGGGATTAGGAGTTTGAGGATCGTTGGGGATTTAGGAATTGGGGAGATTGGGGAAGGGGAGGGTAATTGGGCCTCCGGTAACCTCACTCACACGACGAAACACAACGCAAGCGTTGCTTCACGTCGGTCTTCTGTGAGGCCGTGGTATCACTCCGGTCGAGCCGGCCCATTCGTGCCGAAGCATGGCTCTCCCACACTTAGAAGTGATTCTTCAGAGGTCATCTGAATCTGCATAGTTGGTCTTGAGTCACTCGATAATAAAGCAGGTTAGTTAATTATCTCAGTCATACATAGGTAAGCATAATAGGCAAGTAGTCACCTCGGAAGTCTTCCTCTTGAAAACTCTCTTCAAGTTCTTCCGCTTAGAATAGTTGTTTAGAGAATACAGCGCGACCACCGCCTCCTCCACGTGGTTGACGCTTTCAAACACAGTGTCTACCAGGTTCTCTATGATGATCTGTAGTGCGAAAGACATTTCAACATGAAACTATAGTAATTATTCTATCCTATACATTTAAATATTGTCATTAGTTTTATAGTGTCTAGCTTTTTAACTAGAATTATTCAATAGAGGGTCTAGTTTCCTAGTTGATGGGCCATCAATTCACCAAGTCTATTTTTTTTCTCGAAACTCACTTCAATATCCTTGATGACGGTTCTGAAGGCTAGTATGTCGTCATACCACGAAGGAGCCTGCACGTCTAAGATAGTATTTCCCACCGCCTTTACGTCTAGCAACGCTGCAAAAAACATGCGCTCAATCTTCTCGCATTTAGCTTCAAACTGATCTCCCCGAGCGCCACCGAAGTATGGCTTGTTCATATTTTCGAATTCGTTGATTCTGGAATATAAATGACTCATAGGTATCGTTATTTAGAAGTACTTAGAAAATAATAAATATTTTGAAAGTCCAGACTAACCTTCCAAAAATAATCATGCAGTTGCAAACATCGAGCATGTCAAAGCACCTCTGTATGAAGGAGTCGATATAGTTGAAGATAGACCCCGTGTCTAACACCCAGCTGTTAGGATTCTCTTCATTATGAGCCTCTGCCATGACGTCGTAAATCTCCCTGTACTTCTTGCAGCAGTCGATGCACTTACTGAATTCTCCTAATGCTTTAATCGTATTACCGTCAAAAAGGTCATCCAGCTTGATGTAATTCCGGCAGAGAATGATGATCTGGTTGCTCAAAGCCTTGAACAGATTCGTGATTCTCACTTCAGAGTTATAAGTGGGAGATTCCATCCATATAAAGCGAAATAGGTTGATGATATGAGGAATGTGCTTCGATATCTCGTCAGGGTCCACCACGCACTCCAGAACTGCGCAAGGCTGCTTTATAACCTGCAAGTATTCTATGTTCGAGGTCGCCTCTTTGACCTTCTGGACGATGTCTTCGCATAGACACTGAAACTGGTGTATGAAGGTGGAATGCGTGGTGACGAGGATCTTGGTGATGTGTTTCACTGCTGGGTTTTTTAATTGGTGAAGTAAGGCGTTTAGGTTCTCATCTGCAGGAGAAATCATAAAGCGTTATATTTGTGAAGACTACAAGGTTCTTTCTCTACCTGAAATTAGAATGATGCTCACGTCTATAAATCCAGAAGTCATATTCATCGCTAGGACACAACAATTCTTTCTGCGAAGCTACAAAGGCCGTGTCTTCCAAACAAGACTTGATCTGATGGGTCCAGTAGACGACTACACCTTCGAGCCTTTTCACCAGCTCTCGATCTGCACTGGCTTGTTCAAAAGACAAGTGTTGACCTTCTCGGGGTATGTATAGGACAGTTAGACCTAACATTTTATAGTACATGTCGGTTAGCTTAGCGAGGAACGTGTGAATGTGGGTGCAGAACTCGCTTTTGACGCCTGAAAGAAAAGGTAAAGTCACATAAAGTTGCCTTTTGTGTGGAGAATTTAGTTTTCAGTAGGTTTTCTTATGATTTTACTATAACCACTTAGATTAACATCATCAGTGTTACTAAACGGATAGTTTACTGATCGTTTTTTACTATCCTAAGACTCACAGGGTTCGGAGATGAAATCACTAGAAAAAATCCTTGGTACTTACTATCAGGCCAAGCAGTAATAGCAAAGAAATAAGGAGCATACACATACTCCATCATATTAATCACGTTCGCCTCAATGGAATCCCTGAACGTTCCGAAGACGATGTCATCGTGAAACGTCTCAGCTTTAAACACAAAATCAGGAGGTCTAATAAAGTACGTCAAATCGTAGACAGGGGATAAAGGTATATCGAAACTAGCTTTGAGCTTGTCTCCTTTGAAATATATGGAGAGTATCAGGCTCTTCGGTTCGAGGAACCAGTCTTCGATGCGCTGTCTTGTGGCTGGTGTCCAGTCTTCAGGGCGAAGGTCATATATTGTGGTCATCCTTACGACGTAGTCTACAAGTTTCTCTAATTCTTCTGGATCGTATATTGGTTTTTGTTCGCGCGTTTGTTCCAGTTCACGCTCCAATTGGGCTAGACGTTCTTTTTCTGGAAATTGGTAAAAATACTCATATAGTGCTCCTTATCGGTTTCGGCTGACCGTTAATAGCTATCGCCTGTCGTGTGCTCTGATGTGACTGGCCAGACCGAATTTAATTTTGAAAAACCGATCACAACTAGAGCTGTAAAGCTGGCCGGCAGAGTTGTATCTACGTGTAAGTATAGGAAGGTTTTTTTTCTAAGGGGGAAAATCATCGAATGACTGCTCCCGCCTGGGTGAGGCGGGAGGGAGTGTCAGACTCTTACTGACTAAAAACCACCCCGTTCCTTCTTCTGCACGTCGAGCCGGAGCCCCGGTTACCCGTTAGGTTCTCCGCGACAAGTATAGGAAGGTTTAGATGTGTCTTTACGTATTTGGCGCTTTATATCCAATGTATCTAGTTGCTGCTTTTCGAACGTATCTACATCAAAAGTACTCGTATCGTATTGTGTAGTTTGGTATTGTATGAATCTATTTATAACAATACGCTTGGTGCTACGTGTAGGTACGTAGTAAGCAGTAGCAATAATAATTTCACTGTATTTGCTAGAATGTAGGTATATAGGTACAGGATGGTACAATGTATGTAACACAACATCACGCCTTTTATCCCCGAAGGGGTAGGCAGAGGTGCACACAGAAGTAACACCCACTTTTCACTATTTATGTTATGAGTCCCATGTAATAGGGGGTGAGCCTATTGCCATATACCGGGCACATTTCCAGACTCCGTGCTACTACTAACAGTTTTTTAAAAACGCAGTAATACTTTGCCCGACCCGGGAATCGAACCCGAGACCCCTTGCCCGGCAGTCGCACTTGGGACCACTCGGCCATCGAGGCAGCAGACAATGTATGTACTTTAGTTTAATTGGAAAAATTAAACATGTGTGTTTAGTAGGCTAGTCTGTAAAATCTACTAGCCTTGTAGTACCAAAGCCTTAATACCTAATTTAAGTTGTGTGGTACTGCATCCTTATGATGATGATTAGGTATACTTGCAAAAATCTTAAGACCACAAAAAATATTTCAGAAAGAAATCAAATGTTAATGTGAAATTGATTAACAAAGTCAACTTCTCTAAGTTAAGTATGATTTAATTCATTACTGACATAACAAACGTCTGCTAGCATTGATTAAAAGTTACCTCTATCCTCTTCAGAGTCGTGGCTCAAGTCATCGCTCCACGCAATCTTAGGCCGTTTTACAACAGGAGCCATTATTGTCACAACCTCCGGAGCCTCCGGCTTTTCTTTTTCTGCCTCCGCCATTTTGAATATCACCTAAATACACTAATTAACTAAATAGGCAACTTAATTGAACAATTAAATTACGTTAAAGTTATTATTTATTAATATTTATTGACATTCTATGTTTTCCGAAGAAAACAATAGAATGACATTATTTTGAAACTTCCCGCCTTTTTGGTGTTTTGGTTTTTATATTATTTTTGTAAATAAAGTGTGAGCAGCCAGTGACTAGATGGCTTATTTATTACGATAGAGTTTGTATATCGATTTAACACGGGATGGTAGCATGGTAACGTCATGGAACGTAATCATGTAGGGAAGATAGCTTTGGGGTTGACCTTAATTTTGTTTATACGCTGTGGTCCCGTAAGTATATTGCTGGGACATCGGTGTGTGTGTTCTGAGCGAAAACCTCAATATTGAATAACTTAGTTTAATTTTATTATAGTATGAACCAGCCGATCTGGATGCCACTGGAGCCTACGTTACGTTCAGCAATAGACACCTGATTGCTGATTTTGTAAATAATGCAGCCTGCAATTAATCTATTTTCAGTTACCTTTACGAAACAATTTTAGTCTTTGGTTGAAAACGTATCAGCGAATGCCAAATTGCATGCGTCATCTGTGAAATGTCTGTGAATAATTGGAAAAAATATTTACAAAAATATTTCATTGATATCATGCTTTGTAGTTGTTGAATTGAGAGATTAGTGATAGTGATTGAGATTATTTTTAGTGGATTCTTATTCTGTTGTTATTCAATTTATACGAGTTGAGTTTTAGACATTGGCTAAGTTTGAATTCCGTCATTTGAACAAACGGTCAACGTAGACCGTTCTAAATTACTATCGAGTTGGTTTGTGATTACAGTGTTATGGTGCTTCAAAGGTGAGTAGCATTAATGAGTACCTCAATCCCTTCTTCTGTTCTATATGTATAAACGGATCATGAATCGGGAATAACTACTGTCACGGTACGGCGTGACAGTACCGTCTTTACTGACGAATGATAACAAACTGAATGAGACGCCAATGTATGAACACAGTTTGTGAAGTGCGCCAAGATCGCAAGAAAAACTGAGAACAGTCGGTGGGGGCCAATACTGGCGCCAACTACGAACAACATAACATAACATCACGCCTTTTATCCCCGAAGGGGTAGGCAGAGGTGCACATTACGGCACTTAATGTCACTGTACAATGTAACACCCACTTTTCACTATTTATTTTATGAGTCCCATGTAATAGGAGGTGAGTCTATTGCCATATACCGGGCACAATTCCAGACTCCGTGCTACTACTGAGATTTTTTTTTAAACCCCCAAGCAGTCGCACTTGCGACCACTCGGCCAACGAGGCAGTTCGTAAGGTTGCGTAAAATTGTCTCCAGACACAGCTAGCATGGTCCAACAAAATGTTGGATGGCGTGGGGCGTGTTCACGTTCAGTAGAGACGGGCGCGCGCGGCTGGCCGGGGTCCTGCGCGCGCTGCTCATCGCTCAGCTCGTCGTCTCCTTGTGCATGGTCATCTTCTGCTACAACACTAGCCTGCGGGTGATGCTGCTGCTTAAGCATATACATAAAGTTAGTATTTACTTTGATATTTGTTGGTAATTCATTCTAATTGATTAAGGACTTTTTAAGTGTGGGAGAGCTATGCTTCGGCACGAATGGGCCGGCTCGACCGGAGTGATACCACGGCCTCATAGAAAACCGACGTGAAGCAATTCTTGCGTTGTGTTTCATCGTGTGAGTGAGGTTACCGCAGGCCCAATTACCCCCCCTTCCCCAATCTCCCCAATCCCTAAATCTCCAACGATCCTCAAACTCCTAATCCCCAAAAGGCCTCACCTCTGGTGTTCCAGGTGTCTATGGGCGACGCCGATGGCTTACCATCAGGTAATCCGTCTGCTCGTTTATCGGCTTATACCATAAAAAAAGGACTTAAGGACTAATAGCACTATCGGCTGCCCCTTATTCTTAACTTATAGTGCTAAGTGTGCAGGGCTTGCTTTGTTATGCGCTAAATGGAACAGAGACAGCCTTCTTTGTGATTAGTAGGTCTGTAGGTATTTTTTTTAAATATCTGAGTACGTACTCCACATGTATGTAAACCACGTAAACCACGTTGGTTTGCGTGTTTGGGTCACGTACCTAGATGTATACCAATATGAACTTAAATAACGATTTATGACAACTTTCATTAATATCACTTTTCTCCACTATTTAGGTAACAGTCCTCCTCCTGTACGGACTGATCCTCTTCCAAGCGTACGGTATGAAGCTCCACTACACTGGAGGACTGCGCCTCATAGCGGTGCTACTGAAGTGTCCTCACTGGAAGCGAGCGACACTCGTCAGCAGCGTGTGGCTGCTCAGCGGCTCGCTGGTCGCTGCCAACGGGATGCTCGTGTATGCTGCCTGCAGGGGGACTCTGAAGGTAAGGTTTGGTTCTCTATATAGATAGTTCTCTATAAAATTAAAATATTATTGTGATACCCACTTATCGATGTTGTAACGCATGGCATGTTAATCATTTATTGTAATGCAATGCTACGCCCTACTATGTCTAGTTACGCACTCTTACGCATAGGTACACTCTGCTACGCTTAGCTACGCACTGCTCCGCCTAGTTTCGCACTGCTACGCCTAGCTACGCACTTCTACGCCTAGCTACGCACTGCTACGTCTAGCTACGCACTGCTACGCCTAGCGCGAATCTACGCCTAGCTTCGAGCTGCTACGTCTAACTACATGCTACTACGCATAGCTAAACACTGCTACGCGAAGTTACGGCTTTTTACGTTTTGCTACGCCGTTCTACGAACTACTTGCTAACTAAAAAAATAAAACTAAAAAAATATCTACAAAAACTAAATTACGAGGAAACTGAACAACTACTGAACAAATTAATGTGAGATAAACAGAAGCGCGCACACACCCACAAACACACACACACCCTCACACACACACACCACACACACACACACACTTACACATAATGGCCAAAATAGTTAATATCTGCGTTGAGAAAGTCCCTTTTGTTATTGTTATTGTTTATCTTGTAGTAATTTTTTGTATTAATTATTATGTTATTACTTTTTATCTTATTCTTGTTATTTTTCTTAAAACAAAAATTAATATTGTATAACTGACGTTGGAAAGGCTGAAATTATCTGTACGTTTGAGGGTTGGGCACTGATAGTCGAAATACAGGCAATGCCTAGTTCGACTACAGAAGCTAAAATCATATACCTGTAAAAATATTGTAACCAAACTATTGTTGATATATTGTATTAAGTGCTTAAGAATAAATAAATTATTAATTATTAATTAATTAATATTAACTACGCATTGCTAGGACATGCTAACTACACGTTATTACGCCATGCTACGCGTTGCTTACTTATTATTCGACTTATAAACTATTTTTTTTAACATTTTATCAGGCTCTGATGAAGGAGTTATCATCATCGCTACGTATCGGTATCTCGCAGTATTTGACGGAACCGACTTGGAAGGCGCTTATGGATACAATGCAGGTTAGTTTGATAAATATTGTATTTACAAATACATTTAAGCGGGAGTTACTTATTACGCCAGGAATAATAATAATATTATAGTACTGTAGTCCAACTTTATAAGACTGATGTAATTACAACGTTCGAGTTACTATTAGTAATGTTGTTAACGGTTGGTAACATCTCCGCATTTTACTATTCAAGTCAAGAATTGCATGTTTCGAGTCCTCCCGCAGTTTTAACTATTGTACGGATAAAGTGGTCACCCACTTTATCTGTACAATAGTTAAAACTGCGGGTTAGTGCTGTGAATGGGTCTATTATAAGGCAGGTTCTTCCCGAGGACTCGAAACATGCAATTCCTGACGGTCGTATCTTTTTTTGATGATCGTCGCCTACTCCTAGGTGGAACTAAGTTGCTGTGGAGCGGACAAGCCTACAGACTGGCACGAGATACCCTGGATCAACATGGACTTCTTAAATGAAGGATCTGAGTTGGTCATGAAGTGAGTTCGATTCATTTCGATTATTTTTTTTTATAATTATGCTTATGGCGATCACGTTTCACTTTGAGTTCAATTCTAAAGTGAGGGAAACTGATGTTAGATTTTTCGATTTTAAGATTCTTAGTGTGACAATCAAGTTTTTCAATTTGATTTTTTTATCTATATCAGTGGAAACCCTAGAAAAACTTATGTAACAGAATTTTCTGGTACAAAAGTGTTGTATTATTTAATTTTTCAATGAAATTTATCCTATAGGTTAGCGGGCGCAGATGGTAAGGTGCTGCCCCCTGTATCCCCGTACTCGTGTTGTACGCCGCGTGTACTTGCTCCGTGCTACCACGACCCTTTACAACAGGTAACACTTGCTTCTACTTCTAACTTGACTTTGACTTTGAATTACTTCATGGTTATTCTATTCTAAAGAATATTTTGCCACCGGTTTCTTTTTGACTTCGAAACTTTTGCAGGCCTATGAAACTTTAGTAGATCCTATCGATATTATATTCTTTATCATACCATGTTTGTCCCATGAAGGTAGGCTAAAACTGAAAAGAGCGCCACCTAAAACGATTGTTACGAACTTCTTTAATATCGTATTCATGGGCTTGACATAACATCACGCCTTTTATTTTTACACGAAGGGGTAGGCAGAGGTGCACATTATGCAAAGTACAATGTAACACCCACTTTTCATTATTTATGTTATGAGTCCCATGTAATATGGGGTGAGCCTATTGCCATATACCGGGCATATTTCCAGACTCCGTGCTACTACTGAGATTTTTAAAAACCCAGTAATACTTTGCCCGTCCCGGGAATCGAACCCGAGACCCCTTACCCCGCAGTCGCACTTGCGACCACTCGGCCAACGACGCTGTCAGTCATTTGCTAAAGTCATGGGCTTGACTTTAGCAAATAGCTTCCAAGATACCAACAAAAATGCTCATGTTTTTTGGCAATTATGCTCTAATTTGAAATTTGCGTGTGTCCAGTCGGAGTGGCGCGAGGTATGGTCGGAGTCGTCGCCGCTACTGTCGGCGTCGCTGCACACGCGCGGCTGCGTGGAGGCCGTGCGGGCCCCACTCACTCGGGCACTACTCGCACTGCAGTGCTTTAATATGCTCGTCTTCTTGTTCCAAGTTAGTATCTAATTCATTATTGTACGCAAAATTGTTTTATTTATTTATTTAGACTAGAAAAAAAACACATGTACAGGTGGACTTAATGCATTGGGCATTGTCAACCTTTAGGTGGTACAGAGATGAAAAATTACTAAACGGATCTGATAGATTATTATTATTATTAATGTATTAACCATAGAACAACACATAGGCTATTCCCTAATGCGGACGAAACCTGGCACAAGCTAGTTTTTCTTTTTCATATTATTTACGAGTTCATATAATTCCACAAGTTGTCGGTATAAATATTCTGTTTTTCGGCTTAAAATGAATGACGAAATTAATTGTACAATAAATACATGACTATTTACTACCTACCCCTCAACTTTTTAAGTGTAATATTGAATATTATGTTATTCCAGATCCTGATAGTAGTGCTTACTCAGCTCCTCCGTACGAGTGCCCGCGAGGCCGTGCTGCGCGGGGACTGCAGCGGGACTGGACGCGGCGTACTCTTTGGAAGACTGCCGCTACAACTGCAGGTACGTATTCTAGTACTAATATGTTTTCTTTACTTGCAGAATCTGTAAGTGCTAATAGGGGGTCAGTCTATTGCCAAATACCAGGCACAATTCCAGACTCCGTACTACTACTACTGAGTTGTTTTTAAAACCATGTACTATTTTGCCCGACCCGGGAATCGAACCCGAAACCCCTTTTCCGACAGTCGTTTTTGCAACCACTTAACCAACGAAGAGTCAAAGCAGTAGTAGAACTGTAAAAGAAACATTGTGCGAAAATCAAATGTCTATTTTTTTCTTGTTTTTTAATATAATACGTCAAATCAGCCATTTCGTTTGTGGGCATGGTAATATTTTTTTATGACATTTTTTTTTACCTTGCTCCACACTAGGATTTTCTCCTGTGTCGTGGGTGCATTTACAAACATACAAATTCACATACACATGACACCCAGACCCAGAATAACAATTTGTTGGTCACACAAAGTGTTGTTCCGTGCGGGAATCGAACCCGCGACACGTTGCACACGTTTGCCTTTTTAGTAGAAAGAAGGCTGTGCTCATTTGCATATTTATCTAATATATGTTTCGTATTTCTTTTGCCCCCAGCGCACGACATCGAGCCGGGAAGAAGAGCTCCTAGCATGTTCGAGTACGAGCGCGGGCGTGGTCCCGGAGCCGGCGGCCGGGCCCACCTACTGCGCGCACTACTCGCGCCGCGGCCGCAGGCGGCACTGCAGGACACATGCCAGGAACAGCTACCCGTACCTGTCTTAGTAAGTGGCTCGATTCCTATACCTACTTGTTGACGTTTTTGATCCTATATAATGTAATATCTAGTCTTTGTCTAGATTTTTATCCGTCAATCACGGTGAAACTACTTTTTGGTGAAATTTGGTTGACAGGTAGGGTATGGGCTGACTTAGGTGATAGGATACTTTTTATCCTGATTAAATGCACCAATGGAATAAAACAGGAATAATATTCTACGTGGACTAAGTCGCGGGCAACAGCTAGTTCATTATAACGTCCATGTAAGAGGATGATACTATCATCTTCTTTTATATAGGACTCGTAACGTAACTGGGGAAGAAGTGGATGTTACGTTAAATATACACTAACTTTTGTCAACATTTTCATTACAAACGTTTTATTGAATAAAAGGCATGATAGTGTTGTATTCTGTTAGTACAGATTGCAGGTAACGAGTTGCGGTAAATAGTAGGCATTGGATTAACGATTAACGGACTTCTGCATTTTAACAGAAGTTAACGTGTCCGTTAACATTTTTAAAAGTTAACTTATAAGTTAATCAGTTAGTCAAAATGTTAACTTCGTTAATTAACGATTAACAGATTAACGAGTTAATGCTCAGCTATGCTGGTTTCCAGTGTAGTATAGTTGGCTCCGTAGTTGACTAGTCTAGTTTAGCTAAAGTATTGTTGTCAGATATCACTCATTCAGATTTATTTACAATTTGTTTCAGGCCTTAATCATATTATGTCTGACTATTTCAAAACTTGTGAAAGTGAATCTTGTGTGTACTGTACTCTTATGGACAGTTATTCAGAGAACTGAATTGCATCAGTGATTTATTGATTGAGACTGAACAGTGAAGTGTAAACGCTAAAGGAACTATCCATTGATACTATTTTATAAAATTTGTACATAATTAAATGTAAATAAAAGCAGAATATGAATCAATGCAAAGGCTTTATTTTCGACGTTTTATAAACAGTCCTTACTAGCTAATAATTAAGTAACGTAGCGCGGATGCGAATGTTTAGATGTGGGAATGTTGGGCTCATAGTGGGGGTGGTCCGTCGGGGTAGCGGAGCACGGGGTCCAGCAGGGGCCGGCTGCGGCAGTCCTGGCCCGCCTGGGGAGCCAGCGCCGCCGCGCCCAGCAGCAGCAGCAGCAGCGCCTGGAAGGGCAGCGACGCGCGCGCCACCCTGCATATGAAGCGCAGGCTGCGGCCCATGCCAAACAACGCGCCGTCTTCCCCGCTCTCTTCTTCTTCATCAACCACCGGTCTGGTAAGTAGATACATCGTTTTGTTAGTTTTACTGCGCTTTTGTTTTGTGTTGACACCGGCTCATCAAGCTACCCAAATGTTTCATTACGTTGTAAATGCAACAGCTGTTAGCCATCACTGATACTCAAATTGATTTTGAAATAATATATAGTTTTGTAGCTTGATGTGCTGGTGTTAAATAACCTTTTTATTCTGGATCTTTGTACCTTTTGGTTTATTCATTTATTACGGAATTTTAATAGTAATGTGGAAAATTGTAATCGATTTTTCATAAATTGTTATTACAATTCCGTATTTGTAAAATATTGGTCTTTTTATACTCATAAATATTTTTGAAAGAAGAAAGAAGAATGACAGTAAATAGAAATAAGATAGAATTAGAACAGTTTCAGGTAAAATAACTAACAAATTAATAGATAAAACTAACTTGTAACTACTTTGGAAAACTTGTAACGCAACATAAAGAGGTGGTTAGGCGTTGTAATCACTCAGTACTATAAGTCTATGCTTGGTATTCGGTACTTACTGCGTCTCGTCGAGCGGCGGCAGTGTCAGCCCGGAGAGCTCGTCCTCGTCCTCCTCCATTAGCTACGGACGACAAAATACGTCAACATACGGTGCGAAGCGACTACATAGTGGGATGTACCTACTTACTTACAAACACTGCAATGATGGCTAACATTTGAGGTGATTTTCTTCAAAAAAGTGCATAAATATTAATTATTTCTTTGGTTAAGACTGTATAATTTAGATATGTCTGCTTCGACTGCGATATGTTTGCCATCAGTACAATTTTTGTCATATCAAATAATAATACTATTTGTTCTTGTTTATCATCAAATTCAACAGTTCTATTCAATCGCTTGCTATAACTATATCGGTTGTCAGTAAACTTGTTACAGTAACTGTTGCAGTGTTACGCGTTACTGTTACTGTTCGTGTTACATGTTACTTGTTGTGTTCTAATAAAATCGAAGCTTGCTCGGTGTCTGCCATTACTGTGCTATGGCGGGTGAAGCGTGGGTGATGCGGAATACAATGTTACAGATTGATTTCTTAATTTTGATCACTGTAATTTGTTTTGGGGTTTTTATTCTAGTGGTTTTATTTTTTTTGCTTTAGTGTACAAAGGCATTATGATGTTGTTGTTTAGATGTAATTGTTTATTGGTTTTCAAATGTACGTAATTTTGGTGTCAAGTTAGGTAATGTCTTTGTGCACTAGAGCGGTTGTAAGTGAGTGTGAGGCTGCAGTACCTGCGGGGCGAGCGTGGCGGCGGCGGCGGCCAGCGCGTGGCTGCTGGAGGCAGGCCGCCGGGCCAGCGCCGCGCCCAGCTTCAGCGCGTACACCGAGCACAGCTTGCGCAGCGACTGCAGGCGCAGGCGCAGCTCGGCCAGGCGCGCGTGCGGGCCCGGCCCGGGCGCCAGCAGCGCCGCCGCCTCGTGCAGCGCCAGCACGCGCGGCTCGGCGCGGCGCAGCTCGTCGCGCAGCTCCGCGAACCGACGGAAGTCTCGCTGCAGCTCTGCGGGCTCGCGGCCGAGGCGGAGGGGCTCCCGGGCGCGAACGGTCTTCTCGGCGGCTGCTAGTTTGGCGACGAGTTCGACGAGTATGTCGTGGAACTGTCGGTTGTGCAGCAGGGCGCGCTGCAGCTGCGCCTGCCAGTGGTGCGCGCGGCGGCAGGCGGTGTCCCAGCGCGCGTTGGCGGCGGCGAGGCGCGCGCGCACTCGCTCGGCGGCGGCGGCCGACCGCGCGTGCGCCGCCACGTGCGTGCCCACCACGTTCAGGGACACTACGATCGATTTGTGCGAGTCCAAGTCCAAAAGGAATTCACGATGGTCCTAGGAGGGAGAAAAATATTCATGAAATACCTATCTGACTCACAACTATGTGAAAATTATTATTACTTAACTGTTCTCTTTTAATAACTTTATTTAATAACCAATTATACAACGCCACATACCTGTATAACATCTTCCAAGGCGTCGTACTCCTCGGGCGGCCCGGTGCGTGCCTCGTCCGTGGCCTCAGCGAACTGTAGCCACTGCTCGAGCCGCCAGAGGTCGTTGTCGAGCTGCTTCCAGTTGCGCTCGGAGCACAGCGGACACGTCAGACGACCAGACTCACTGCGGCGGGAGATACCACGTGGACATTACGTTACACAACTTTATAACAAGGTCCTTTGACACAAATAGGACCAACATTATTTTAAGTTAATTTAATTACTTTATAAGCGTAGATAATGATAATTTTAATCTGATTAACTTACAAGACATTAACAAGAATATAAAAGTATTTTTTCGTCTTGTTAAAATGTAAATATAATTCAATATCACAAAATGAAGGTTTAACAAAATATACTAAATAGATAATTTAGCTGTAGGTACTTATAAATGAACAAGGAAACAACACAATCCCAATGTATGTATAAAGCTTAATATAAATTGTGTAAAGTGCAGTGCATATACACCAATAAATAAAGTGTAATTAAAAAACTACTAAATACGTAATACTGATTAATTTCACATCATGCAACATCGCACGCATTTCTGCTACACAGTCAAAGATTAAAAAATAAAAACAAACTAGACATTGTTAGGTTAGGAAAGTGAAGAGAGATAAAAAACTTATAAACAAAATATTGTGTTTTTTCAAACAAATATATAAGATTCAAATACCATGCAATCATGTGCTTAATACTCAAATACATGAGAAAATATACACAGAAAATCATCTATGATTACAAAAAATACACAAATCTCTTGATCTTTTACCCTCAAATGTAGCAGAAATGTGTGGAATAGATATAAAACTACAAATATTAGGTAAGCAGTACTCACTGTTCGCACGTGAGCGCGTACGACGCAGAGTGGGGCAACCTATAGGATAAAAAACGCAACGTGTTTAGAGCATGCCGGGTTAGAAAGCTGTTACACACGTGACACGACCCAGGATAAAATTGATACGCCAGTGTGTAGATGCCTTATTTTAATTCAGTGCTAATAATTGACAGTGATTATAGAAAAAAGAGTTTTAAAATTGAAAGGTATTAAGTTTAATTTTGGGTGTGATAGTGGGAGATCTTGAGGGGCCTTACCTAGCTTTCTATTAGTCTCTGAGGCATTTTTGGAGTTCTAGAAACGTTTTGGCGTATCTACATTTTATCGGCTAGTCTGTGCACACCTCGGCATTTTTAATATAACTTAGAAATTATCAGTCTCTTTGGTTTATTTACAACTACTGAGTTTACCATTTTAATTTATAAATAGATCTGAGAATCGAATCAGTGATATAAATAATAATACTGTTTTATATTTGTAGGTATATAAATGCAAGGAAATAATGTACAGTCAGCCACACCTTATACACAAATAGACCAGTCTTCTTAAGTTAAAATATTTTGGTCTTTTTATATTTTTTATTGTGTGTTGCCAACTGTACTCCACCGATATAAGACTCCACTGTTCATTAACAGCTTTAAGCCCCGTCACCAGTGCCATAAGTGCTACCATATAACAATCATCAAATAACAACATTTAGATTTAAATACAGGGACATTTCATATGATGACTTTGCAAGAAATAATAAGGGCTATACAAGAACTAATAAGGGTAAGAATAAAGGTTGCAAGAACTTGTCAAATATGCAAGGAAAGAGATCAGCATTCTTGTGAAGGCAAGACAGTAAAATAATATTTAGGTAACATTCATTTCAGTAAGGATTTAAGAAGTCGTGCAAGACTTAAGTGTAGCATAACAGTGCACATGTAGGTATAAAAATCGTAAAAAAAATTATTGAGGATTGGGCGTGTGCCGAAGCAAAAATATTTAAAATCTACATTTAATGTATGAAAATGAAACTTTGCTTTTAACAAATGCGATACAGCTTCTGAATGAATTTAAATAATTAGATATTTGAAGATTTTGCACTATAGACAGACAACTAAAGCAACATCGTAGACACCGTCATCTACATGAAATGTCCGAAGAAACACGTTAGATTCAAAATCGTATAGAGAATCAATTACACCAAATGCCAAAATCGCACATAATTACAGATTTACAAGATCCATAATTGCGTGCAATTTTTGACCGAGTGACACTCACCTCAAGTTGTTAATTTGGAGCTCCCGTTTCTTCGCTTGGCTGAGCAGGTCTTCGTATGTTAGGGAAAGAGATTCTACTTCTTTGAGCATGGCCTCGTCTTCTGTCGCGTCACATTCAGTGAGCAGCAGCTCTGACAAATGTTTGGCCAGCTCTAATGTTTGTCCAGGTTTGGCACCAGCTTTGGCTATTTCTTTGGCGGCAGTGGCTAGTTCGTCACTGCTCGCCTTTTCATTAGGTTGTGTGTTGAGGGCGAGTCGGAGCGCCTCAAGGGCTTCCGAAGTTTCTTTTACGGCGGTCGCTAGTTCTGCTCTATAGGTTTCCTTGGACGTGAGGGTATCTACTTGAAGGGCAGCGTCCGTTTCCCATTTAAGCGTGTCAACCTGGGATAACAACATATTTGCGTTATTTCAATGCTCCAAACGTTTTTCGGTAAAACATTGTTTCGTGAGTAGAACGCAGAATCTGACATTTACCTGTACAGCAGTATCCACGTCGCCGACGACCTCAGCGCGTGCAAGGTCTAATCTCGTCCGTACGTCAGCGAAGAGTGCGCGGTACTCCGCCACCATGTCCGACACTCCCGACACCGTGGACACTGCGGCCGCCAGCCTGTCTGCGTCTTCCACTAGCGATTGGCATTCTAGGAGTTCTTGTTCGACGCCCTGGAGATGACAAATATGTTAACGTAAAGCTATGGAAATGTTCTTTTTATTAGACAGTAGGGAAAATATAATGTTTAACATATTGAATTCTATATGAACAACTCACATCAAGTTCTTTCAAAGTGGCTGCCTTGTCGAGCGGTGTGGGTGCGAGGTGCAGCGCCCGCGTGAGCCGTACGTCGGCCTCAGCGAGCGCGACGACGGCGCGGCCGTGCGCCGCCACCAGCTGGCGGTGCGCGTCGGCGCCGGCCGCGTCCAGCCGCCCGCGTAGCTGCTGCCAGCGCCGCACAGCCGCGCGAAGCCGCGCCGCCTCGTCCGCGGCCGCTCCGCGCAGCTCCACGCCCCGAGCCGAAGCTATCCTGCTATAGGCATCCTCTAACCGCTTCACGTCACCTTCCACACTCTCCAAGTCCTTTATCACAGCCTTAGATACACTTTCGTCTTCAGGTTCCCCGCGTTGCTTCCTAGTTTCAATCTTCTCAACTCGTCTTTCAACAGAGTCGAGTTTCTTCTCAACCTTCGGCAACAGCGAGTTAGCAAGTTCAGCAGATTTGCGAATTTCCTTCAGCGCGTTCTTGCGCTGTTCGGACATTTCGCAAATGTTCTTCCATTTCTTTTCGACGATGTCAACGCCAGTGTGGAGGTTACGTAGGTCAAAGTTACCTTTCATGACATCAGGGTCATTGAATACGAGTTCGCAGAGGTTCAGGGTTTCCCCTACCTCTCCACTCTCGTGTTCAATATTTTTATGAATATCATCCCTGTCTTTGAATTTCTCATCAACAGCCCTTGTCGTTAGGTATTCTAATACAACAGATGTAGATAAATTAGATTCTATGGAATGTAGTTTTAACCTTATTTCAGTAAGCCGTTTTTCTAGTTGAGATATCGTTTCCAGGAGTTCATTAATCTTAGCTATCCTTGACCTTCCGGTTTCTTGCATCCTATGCCAACGTTCTTGTACATCTTTCAGTTGTTTAGATGTTGTTTTACTGTAAGATTTTTCATCTTTCTTGGATAGTTCTACCAAAGACAAGCCAGTTTCTGTAAGCCATTCGAATTCACGTTCCTTTAAGGCAGTTTCAGCTTGGACTTCAGAGTTTATCCTCCTGATAAGATCCTGAGGGTCGATAGCTCCAATTTCCGTACTTTGGTTCGAAGCTTCCAACCTTGTTTCAAGTGTAGTGATCCATTCAACAAATCGTGTCAGGCGTGATTCAAATATTGTGTAGATTTCTAAGCGTTCCTGTAGTCTGTGGATTATGATGGACAGTTGGTGTTCGAGGTCAGCGCGCTGTTGTCGCAGCTGCCAGACTCTCTGGTTCACTAACCTTATATCCTGCGGACTCAGGCACTCTTTCAGTTGTTCTTGGATAACGCTTAGGGCTTCAATTTGGGTTTCAGTCTTCACAATCTTTGTTCTCAACTCTGAATATTTTTCTACTGCCTTCTTAAGCTGTGGCCTTGACAATCTGTCTTCGTCTGAGTAGGACATGATTTCGTCTTGAGTTTTCGAGTACAGTTTGTGCAGTTCGTTGTTTGCCAGATTTTCATATTCATTGATCAAGCCAAGTATTCTGTTCAAGAAATCTCTCCATGTGTCGAGACTGGCTTGCAGGTTGTCCACCCTCTTTACCATGCCAGCGTATTCCATTCTTACAGATGCACCGTATGCTTCCTCCGTGAATTCGAGAACTTTCTTCAGGTCACTTAGCAATTTGTCAGACTGTCTCCTACCTTCGGGGACCTTATCTGAGAGATTCTGTATCTTAGCCAGTATTTTTTGTATCCGCTTGATGTGCACGTATCTGAGTTGGAGCTTCTCCTTTTCTCGTTCCATTTCTTTGAGCCACCTGAGCAACTCCGTGTACACTTCTCTGTAATCATCCCACGCTGCGATCCTGGTACATACTTCATCGTGTCTTTCAACGATTCTTGCTAATGTCTCATTGTGAAGATTCGTCAGCGTGTCGAATTTATCGGCTAATTCCCTATTCCTTGTTTCTCTGTTCTCGTTCATGAGTACAGACCTCTGTGATGTCAAGAGGTTCTTGTGCACCCTGCATAATCGTCGATGTTCTGTGAGGTTTTCGTAGTCAGCCGGTACTGAGCCAGATAAGAATGATTGCAGATCTATCAAGTATTCGTGCCATAGTCGTAGCGCTGTCGCTGCGTCCCCAGACCTGACTAGTGCGGTAGATAATCGATGGTAGTGGAGGAAGGTATCCCTGAACATGGCCTGCCATAGTTCCAGAATCCTCACTATCGAGTGTTCGTCTGAAACGTCTCGGTCGATATCTGGGAGCTCGGCCTTAGCAGGAGCGATGTCCGCCTCTGATTTGCCTAGAGCTATTAAATTGTCCCTAAGAGCAATCAGTTTATCTTCGACTATTTCACCATCTTCATGTACGGGGGTTAGGTCCTGGAAAGAAAAAACACCACTTAGTATTACTTCATCGTTCCTATAATCATCCATAGTAAATTATTAGAAACTGATTTGAAATCATCGCATTACGATACCTCGTGATCAATCAGTTGTGAATCTAGGCAGCTGTGCGTGACAATTGATTTCTGGTGGCTACAATTTATCAATAAGATCGCGACCACTTCGGTGCTTTGCCGGTCGATGACCTAGATGTCTAATGTTATTTGCAACAAGACGTTTTTATCATCTGTTTATTCCAAAGTTGTTGAGATTCGGTCACTCAACTTCTTAAAGTTCGTAGCACGTCAAAAGTGGTTTAAGATAAAACAGGAGACGGTCTAGATTTGGTCGTCAATATATCAACTAATTTAAACCAGGGCAATTTTTGTCTACATTTTATCAATGTTAAAATGAGGTTACCAAATGCTTACTTTTGTAACATTTTATGAATAAAATATAGAAGTACGAATAGTCTATTTCTATATAAACGATCCACCATATTGAATACTGAATCAATAAATAAGTGGCCTAGTACAAAGTGCAGGACAATCGATACTGCCGTTATATTCATAACAAATTCATGAGGGCACACGTTTTTACCCGTTACGCTGCAATACTGATATGGGCTGAATGCAAGCTGTTTAGGAAATGTCGTATTATGCTTAGCAGTAACGGTATCTTCGATTTGATATACAAGTATCAAAAATATTGACAGTATTTTTGCAAGTTTTAATAAAGAGGATAAATTGAAGCCATTACCATTTCTTTCAACACATTTTATATTGTAGACATATTTAATTTTAATTGGTTACCTATCAGAATATTCGTGCAGTACTTAATCAGGTATTTATCATGTTTTAATAACTGAATGACCTATTCACCTACAGGTTCATCCGTGACTCACCCATCACGGCGTGGTCACGCTACAGTGCCTACAAATTGATTTATAAACCTAACTATTAAACGTCTAGTTATAAGTTGACTGTAATAAAGCATAATAGATTCTATCTTTATTGATGGTGAGTTCGTCAGCTTCGATTATTTGGAGAGAGCTACCTACCACATTGCTTGTGAATCATAAACATTTCTATAAAGTTATACGAAATTATTTACATCAGTGCAATTTTGACTTGGTTATTTAAGCTATGGATAAGAATCACTTGGCTATATCTTACTTTATAGTTAGTTCTAAAGTTAAAAGTATAGCTAGCTTTAATTATAAAATTATATTCTGTTTGTTTCCCAAATAAAATAAAATCGTACGCATCAGTCACGCATTTGACTTTGGAGTCCTTTCCATTGAACTAAAGTAAAACGTCTTCATCATCTTACCTGTCTCATATCACACAACATCTCTTTAGCATGTTGAGCCTTGGCTCTGGCGAGTTGCCTGGCTTCTCCCAAGTCAGCCAGCGCCTGGACAGCACCAGCCACGAGTTGGAGTCTCCTAGCTAATGCGTCAGCATCAGCCTGAAGTGCACGGGAACCAGTCTCAGCTGCTACTTGAGCAGCCAATGACCGGAGTTCAGCTACACGAGCTTCTTGTTCTAAACATGCCTGTGGAAGATGAGGATTCATTGTATTTTTGATGTCACTATGTTATTGGAACTAACTTTAAACCTTAGGAATTTGGAGAAATTGATACGAATTGTATCAATGAAGAAGAATATCCGAAGACTGTATATAGGAAGAATATCTCACTTAAAAGGGGTTGTTCTGTAATTAATCTTATTTTTCTAGTTGGGACAACTCTAAGTGATCATGTTATTTCATTCCTATACATGTGTGTAGGTTCATTTTCCTTACTTCTAATTCACATTCCGATTAAACAAGTACAATGTAATTGCATGAGCTTATCAGTCTGCGGTTCGCTTCACTTAACAAAGTCATTTCGGAAACTCTTCTATTTTGCATTTCGAAATTACTGTTATTAAAATCTAAATGATTTGTAACCACAGCATTTTCTTAGATTGGATATCCTTTTATGGGCCATTGAATAGAAAATTAGAATGTATAACATGGGATTGGATCTATTCAGTATGATCGCTGAGTTCAGTAAAATGGTGTAGTGATTAATCACATTTTCAAATCTTATTGTACCTATGTATTTTCTATGCTCTTTCTACATTATTTACTACAATGAGAAGATGAGGTAAGTCTGTATATTTATTAAAAACTTGTGTTAGGTACTTCTACGATTGACGAACATTATTATACCTGAGTTTACAAGTGCAAGATTCCTTGATTTAAAATTAATTCACGAACATTCCTTTCAATAATATTGTTCTACATAATTAGCGCATTAGTATGTCTGTTCACAGGACAGTCCTCGTGACCAGCCTGTGCAACGATTGATATTAATTTGAACGTTGCACAATAGCCTATGTTGGTGGGCTTAAATAATGAACTGGATACTGAAATTGGATAAGCCGTGTCTATAAACTTTTTAGTTTCTAGTTTTTTGTAGTAGTTTTTCTTTATTACCTACCCATTAGGCTATACATAGACCATCTATGATAAATATTTTATGGCTAGGCAATAGGGTAAAAACCAAAACCTAGTAGCTAATTTTCATGGACTAGGTATAAATGTAGAAAACCCTTGCTGAGTATTGAAATGTACATACATACATAACTTCACGCCTGTCTCCCATGGGGGTAGGCAGAGACTATGGAACGCCAATTACTACAATTGGTGGATTTATTTATCATAGATTCATAAACAAAAACGTAGCCATCTTTAACTGTCCATATTGTAATGTGATGGGGCACGATGATTTAAAGTTCAATATGTGGTTAAAAATGGTTAATATTTAAGTAAATGTATCTAATTTAAATACAAAACGAAAAATGTATTTATATATTAACCAGTCTGAATAGCATGCAAGTATCGTGTAATCATGCATGCAATTTGAATGTCGTTGGGGTAACGAAGGGTTATCAAGTGGTTTAAAATAATAACATTTAATATCTAAAAGTATGAGAATTTTGGTGTGTAGTCTTATTAGGTATCAAAATGTATGACACGTGTTTTTATAATCACTGTCGTGAGGCATACTAAATTAATAACAGGATAATTATAATATAATACCTGAACCGCGCATCCTGCTCATGTGGAAGAGTCCCTCAGTGCTTCGAAACTAGTAGAGCAATTCTCAGTATTTTCACGTGAGTATCCCGCGATTATTAGTTAATTTCATTTGAAATATTTTAATATCAGTCTTTAGGAACAAAATAATTATCAATCGTGTTATTTGTTCCTAATCTGTGATTCTATTACTTACTAGCTTCTGCCAGCGGCTTCGCCCGCGATCCCAGGGGTAAAATGCCTATGTATCACTTCAGACCATAATCTACCTCTGTTCCGAATTTCATTCCGGTCCCTTCAGACGTTTTAATATGACTGAGTAACAAACATACACATAAACTCACATATTTTCATTTATAATATCGAGTCAATCTAATTTCAACCATTGGCCTTTCAGTTACAGCGTAAAGTCTATGAATGAGTATTGTAAACGTTAGAGTAGACAAATACAATCAGAAATCACCGAATTGCTAAGTTATCGGGAGATTCACGTGTTATTGTGAGTCAACCATAAAAGATAGACATATGCTGTCGAGGAATATTTTTTACATAATTTTAAGGAAAATATTTCCGTCATACATGATTTCTATGTAGCTTTAACCTATAAGCCTGCACACGCGACGGAAGCTTATAAAATGGAGTAACTTCTCCCGTTTTCCCAATATTTCCCTTCACTGCTCTGCTCCTATTGATCGTAGTGTAATGAAAAGTATACTATAACCTGCCCAAGAGTATGAGGAATAATTGTGCCAAATTTCGTTAAAATCCGTCGTGTAGTTTTTGTTTCCATAACGAACATACAGACAGACAGACAGACAGACAAAAATTTTACTGATTGCATTTTTGGCATCAGTAGCGATCCCTAACCACCCCTTGATAGTTATTTTTTAAATATATTTTATGTACAGAATTGACCTCTCTACAGATTTATTATAAGTATAGATTAACATATCATTAGGTCATTATAAGATAAATGATATGTTTGTTTAATGTGTACTTAATAGATACGAGATTCCATAATACATAGACTTTGTATTAATACAAAGTAGTGTTTTGCAAAGATACAAAGTTCAAGATATCACTTAAACTGTCAAACACCGCGAGGACACCGGTGACTGCAACCTATTGTTCTTCAATTGTGTCTATAATGACGGTACTCAAAGGGTTTTTTTAAGGGGGAAACATCATCGAATGACTGCTCCTCGCCTGGGTGAGGCGAGAGGGAGTGTTAGACTATTACTGACTAAAAACCACCCCGTTCCTTCTGCTGCACATCGAGCCGGAGCCCCGGTAACCCGTTAGGTTCTCCGCGACCACTCAAAGGGTTAATATAATAATATCTAGATGTAAGACCAAACTGTGTACCTAACTAACACGCTACCAACTGCCTAGGTTTATTTGGAGACTTTTTAAGCAAATATTGAAAGTTGCGTTCCGGGTCTGAGTTTGATACGTAGTTGTATGTTTGTAAACGATTCCACTTCTTATGAGACAATCTTAGTATGAGCCCATGTCTTTAAAAACATTTTAGCTCATTTCAGATTGTTTTAATCCTCGCTACAGCTTATAACTTGCAACTACATTGAAGCGGAAACCACTCATATGATTGGAATTAGTCCATTTAGAGAGGTAACCAATGAAGCGAGTAATACATTCGGATGGGTTCGTGTGTTGTTGTGAAATGGAGCTATTTATTATATTATTATGCCAAATAGTTGAATTGGATGACCTAATTTCTACCTATGTGATAGTGAACGTCTATTCCGATGTCGCGGAGAACCTTACGGGTTACTGGGGATCCGGCTCGAAGCGCAGGAGTAAGAACGGGGTGGTTTTTAGTCAGGAAGAGTCTGACAGAGTCAGTCATTCGATGATTTTTCCCCCATAAATAAACCCCGAAATATTAGTAAACTTTGTTTATACTACCTAAGGAGAAGGTTACAAGACTATGAGGTCCATTCGTTTGGGATTTGATGGTGTATTTTAACTCCGGAGCTCAATATGGTTACAAAAGGGAAGTTTATTACCTAGTTATATAGTTTAAATTAAACAGGAGTTCGCGATAATTTAATTAATAATTTATGATAAACGAGACAGTGTTGAAAACTCAACGCTTTTTGTGGGAATTCAGTCGGTATTTATTCAGGCGAGAATTTCGACATTGTAAAGTTGTATTTTAATACTTGTATAGACCTAGACCTAGTTCTACTAAGAACTAAGTGTGGATATTTCCACACTTAGTTCTAGTTTAGTTTAGTCTATTCTAGTCTAGTTTTAGTTATTACTAGGACTCAAAACAGAGAACAACGTTAATATCAAAACAATATCAGATTCATATCTGTATTAATTTGGGTTTCATTATAGGTAGTTTAATCGCACTAGCAAAAGAATCACTGGCATTAAGTAAAACCATCGATTATAATCTAATTACAAAGCAGGGTTTCCGTGAAAATTAAGTAAACGAGAGAGCTCCGGTAGAAAACCGAACCGGTGCGGCACGAGGCACCGCTTCCGGACGACTTCCGACCGGTAATGTAATTAGACGAAAAGAAATTGGATAAGCCATACCTATAAACTCGTTGGTTTCTAGTTTTTCTAGTTCATTCTTTATCAACTAGGTGCAAGGTAGGTTAACTGTCTATTATTACCTACCAAATGTCTATTATCTAAGAGTTGGTATATTAAATTCAAGTCAACAAAAATACCATCGGTTTTAAGTTAATTGATATTTTAATATAACACCTCATTTAGTGTCTTTTCTTTTCTATTTTCCTAACTAGATTAGAATGTCCTATAAGTATGAACCTAAAAGTAGTCCAAGGCTTATTTATGTACCTGTACCTAGCAACTATCGCATCTCACACAAGTCTAACCGACTACCCTTGATAACACTCATAACATTTATTACCCACAATTTTAAAGTATCAAGAAAAACAAACAAATGAAGTCATCGGAGCCCTTTTAATGGAAAATTTATTCAAAAAACATCCGTATTGCTTAGTACAGAGGTGTGACATTGGTATATAGGAGGTATTTTAAGAAATCTGCGTATGAAGGAAGTGATAAGCTTGTGTAATCGGGACCTTGGACTAGATAGCAGTTTGTCGTCATTGTAAATATTATGTTTAATCGGACAACTAGGAATTTTGTGTTACGCTATGTTTGAGGATTTGGATGATACATTACGATAGAGTTGATTAATGTATATATTTATTGTCTATCTGTTTGTGTCTCCAAACTTTAGTTTGGTATTAGGGGTAAAATTAAATTAATTAAATGTATATATGTAACGCCTGAATACTGAAAGGCTACTAAATTCTAAGTTGTACTTAAATATCGTGCCATCTCTGTCGTTTTACAAAGAATTTGTAGTGTACTTTTTATGACCAACTTAATTATAGTATTTTTCCAGAAAGATTTTTAAGAAATAAGTATACTGTTTTGACGCTAAAAAACGTGACATCACAATACACAATCTCGTACAAAATTCATAGAAAACTGTCATTT